TTATTATAAGACCTGCTTTCTAATCCTTAATGAATTCTTTATTTAATAAAAGCAAACAATCAGACCTTATTAAAAATAGTAAATGAAACCGCTCTACCAGGTATATTTTTAGTTTTGAAATGCAGTGAGTAATAATGATATAATATTAACATGTAAATACGCTTTTCAGAAAAAATTGTGGTAAAAGTAGAAAAACATAAAAATAGTGTTCCAGATGACCCAATAAAGCTTAAAATACTATATGCGTACAATTGCTAAGACGTTTATTTTACATGGTTCATTGATCTAAAATGAGAAGAAGTATGCATTATTGCAATATGGATTCCATTCCTTCGTGTGCATAACTGACAAAATAAAAGTTAAATGGGGTTAAGTGGAGTTAAACTACTATTTTGTTTTTGATATATATATATATATATATATATATATATATATATATATATATATATATATATATATATATATATATATATATATATATATATATATATAAATAATATAAAATAATAAAAAAAACTAAAAAAACAAACATGACTAGGGATATGTCATGTCTGCTTCTTTAGGGAACATCAGTTTTAGAAAAAAAATCTGAAATCAGAAAATCTGAAAGAAGTTATAAAATAACTAGAGTACTTTTGACAGAACAAAGAAATTGAGAATCAAACAATTTTTGATTATTTGATGACTAATTGTTAAGAAGTGTTGAACCTGCGTACTTTCAAGAGCTGGGTACTAAGCTGGGAAATTGTGCATTAAAATTAGATTTCAATTAGGAGGTTATTTAAAAGAAAGTCATTAATATAAATGGTATTGTGTCGCCATATCTTTATTATTTACTTTCACAAAAAGCATTTTAAAAAAGAGGTCTTGCATACCTATATTTCTATTCTATTGTACTTTATTTTTTGAAGAAATATTTTATTTCTATGTTTGCTGCAATCTGTCGCTCTCGATTGCTTCACTATTTTAATTGCTTGGTAGAAAGTGACACACTAAATTTCCTGATTCTACGATGCACTCCCAATCTAAAACTTATAAAATTTTCTGTGCAGAAATGTGCTAACGGCGAACTATGTAGATAGTTCAATGTAGAAAAGCATTATACAAACTAAACATAAACTTTTCTATAGACTAGTTACTACACTTTTTGTAAACCAAAAGGTTTGTATTACTTAACGTTACTATTTTGTTGTCGTCATCACCAAGTGCACAGTGGGTCAAAAGTGACATTTTCTAGCCAAAACCTCTAAAACCAAAATTTTTTTATTTTTTCAATTAGAAACAGTTTATTATATTGAAAAACATAATTTGTGGAAAAAATAACATTTGTTTTTTTAAAACTTCAAACTTTATTACATAATTACGCAAACTATTAAAAAACTCATTTATTTTCCATTTATAAAAAAATCCGTTTTTACTCAACAAAATTAACAACAAGGATATTATTTAAATTTATGTTTTACGCAGAGTATTCTATCGTTGGCTCTTGCAATACTTCAAGTACACCAGATGCAAATTAAAGGATCAGATGCACATAAAAGGCGGTGAAAAAGGTCTATATTGTTTTTTTTCCGATCGTATTTTCTTGTAAAATTTTCACGAGAATCTTAAAAACCTTATTGGTAGCCTCTTGAGCCTCTTCAGAAAACATATCTAATGGAAGAGTAAATAGTTCAATGACTTCATAGCCAAGAATCAAAATCTTATGAAGTGTTTGAGTCATAGGATACCAAGGGTACAGGAATACATAGAGCGAAGCAGTTTCCCAACAGAATGTTTTAAATTTGGATGAGTTAATTTCATAACCACTTGATATTGTGGCCAGAATAATATGAAGCTTTTTCATAAGATCTACATCGATGTTCATTATACTAGCTGAGACATCGTATTGCTGAAAAAATCGCCTAACTGTGTTGCCATCGTTTGATGTACCTGCCCCACCTATTCTCGGTTGGTCTATGACAAGACCTATCCTTGTTCGAAATTCAGCACAGACTTCAAGCTTTCTCAGTTTAACAATATTTTTTTCGTCTTGATTTTTAGCCTGCCACTTCATAACCGGCATCTTATAAGAGATATGGAGCATACATTCTAAAAACCTTATCCAAGCATGCAAAGTTGAAACGCCATGTTTTATATTGCCTTCTAAACTTTTTTTTTGAACAACTAAAGATAAATTATTCATTTCGATTGGAGATGCACCACACACTGAACAGCATTGGTATGAGTGGGTTGCTGTGGAAATAATAGTTTAAATTTTTCCATCTATCATTGTTAAATTTACAATATGTTGTATTTCAACTTCCTTTGTTGTACCGTCCTCCAATAAAACAGGTACAACAGATAATGTTATCTCTTTAATAGAAGCCATAATTGACTCATATTCTGCAAGAATTACTTCATTTGATTCTTTTCTATATTTAAATCTCAGAGGTCTGCAGTAATTAGTTGACAATGGTTTCGGATTTCTCCAAACAACCTGTTTTTTGTCATCTTTAAAACAATATAGTTCTAGAGGAACCAAGCAAGTTATGAAAAGTGATTCATCTGTATGAAGTTCACTAGAAATATCTGACAGTTGTTTATAAACAGATTGTCCTGTTGCACCATCGAAACCAGCTTTGTATATTATAAATAGTTTAGTACAATCTTTAAGCACAGGTGAATTTAACACAACACTATAAGCTGAACATATTCTTGATGCAGTATGAAAAAGAAGAGCTTGTAATAGAACCTCTGCAGAGTAGTCACTGACCTGAATGTTTTCAAGGTAGCATTTATTTTTAGCCTCTTTTACAATATGATAGGATGGGTATAGAGAGCTGAATGGAAGAGCATTGTTTCTTAAATGCTGATAAGTTTCTTTGGATAAATTAGCATCTAAGACTAGAGCTAATGATTGTTCTGAAGTAAGTGATTCTGTCGATAATTCTTTGTTGTATATTTTTTTAACCACTTTTGCTTCTATAAACCTTTTATCCCTTTTCAAACTTTTACTTGCTGCATATAAAAGTTCGTTTAAATTATGTTTACTCAAAAGCTCTTTAATTATGCGATCTTTAGTTCTCACAGAGGCATCTTCAAGCAAAATCGAAGGGCGTCCACCTTAAAGTATAATATTATTTTTTCAATTATTAAATCGTCGTAATGATAATACAAATAAATTATACACATTATAATAAATTTACACATAGTTAAAGTAAACATACCACAGGTTTTTGTTTCGATTTTTTTTTTTTTTTACAGTCAAATATAGTTTGGTTAAACCAAACTTTATATCTTTTTTCATATACTGCACTTGTTCTATTCGATTTTTTCCACTTGTTATTAGCTTGGTAAATGAATTTCGAAATAATTGACAAGTTATCATTAGATTCTTCAAAATTGCTTTGGGAAACAAAACTCAAAATCTTTGCACGTAAATCATCATTTTGTAATAAATTTTTTTCCATTATATAATTCATAAGACGTCTCCTATCCATTTTTAAGAGATTGTCTGTTCAATAAAATACCTTTAACTTGAAAGAAAGTAATTTAAAATGTTTTTAATAAAGTAATTTTTTTACGAGCAGTAACTATGAAACTCAGTTCCTTTCCTTTATTTCAAACTTTTACTTGCTGCATATTCTCATTGGTTGTTATCGTGTTTTTATCGATTACATATAATTTTATTGTTTTCGGAAATTATAAAACAAATAATAAGTATTATGTCCCAAACTTGTACTACGTAGAAGTATATAATTCATATTTTATCACAGTCTCTGAGTTTTTATTACTTTAAAACGGTAGCATAAAAAATTAGGAATAATGGTTTCAATGCGATCTAAATGTTCATTGAGCAAATACGAGGAAGTTACTGGAAAGCAATTAAAAAATACAAAAATATTTAATTTTAAACTTATGTCTTTAATAAAAATTATTATAAAGTCAAACTGCAGTTTTTAAATTTAAATTCTTCTTAAATTTTTTGTTATCGATCAAAAACGCATTAACAAGAAACGTGGACGTAGCTAATTGAATTTAAAAGTGTATTCGTTTAGGCAGCTATAGGCAGCCAATTTTTATACCACAAGATCAATGTCATATTGATATTCAATTATATATCATTTTAGGCGGTTGATACAGAATGATCCGATATTTAAATGATATTTTTGAAAAAAGAAAAAACTTATAACTCAAAATTATTGATGTTTGCATTGTTGAAAATATTTATATAAATTGCAAAAAAAATTTTTTTTTTTTTTGTGATTTAAATATTAAAATAATACTATATAAGTCATTTATAAGTTAAAAAATAAACTTAAACTTCTTTAAAATAAGAAATCAAAGTTTTCAAAAGATGTAAAAAAATAAAATTTCCACACTTTTTTGTTGTTATTGATAAAAAGTATTTAAGGAAATATTTAAACCATAAATATGGCGTTTTATTGTAAAATTATTTTTTAATAAAATATAATTTCTGGCTTATTAATATATTGAGCAAAATTTTCCTTTTTCAAAATTTCAAAATTTAAAGAACTTTTTTGTATGGTTTTGCCAGGTTCTGACCCACTGTGCAGTGGGAAAAAAGACGTCGAAAAACGTCTTCTAAAGTCTTATTTACGATGTCTTTAAGACGTCTTTTTTTAATCGATTACGCAAATCTAAAAAACATCTTTTTTCGACATCGAAAAGACGTCTTTTTTAATCTTAATCTTGTCATAAAAAGACATAAAAAATGCGCCTTTAAGACGCCTTTTTTTAGTCGAATATGCAAATCTAAAAAAGTGTTTTTTCTCGGGGTCGGAACGACTTTTTTGCCATACTTATTAGTATATTATAGTATCCTATAAACTATAGTATTCCTACTTTTCTTATATAATAAGCTATTTTTTTCAAAGGAAAATGATTATAGCTCTTCATAAAAACTTTTTCCGATGCCGAGAAAAAAAACCTCTTTTAGATGTCAATATAAAAGAGGAAGCATTTTTTACATCTTTTATATATTTAAAAATAGGAGAATAATTTATAAACAAAACAATAGTATTGTTCAACAGAGTATTTTTTCATCTTTCTCTTTCTTTTCTGTTTCTTGAGCGAGCTCTGTTTCTTGGCGTTGTGGAATAAAACTAACGATTTCACGTCGAGAAATCTTTTCATACGAGCAGGTTACGACTTCTAGCTGGTTACCACTTCTAAAAAACGAGTGAACATAAAAAACAGTCTATTGCTTAAATAAAATACAAAAAAAGCAAACGAAACTTCATTAGCTGAGTGGAGCACATTATACTTACCGACTATTAATTCAAAAAGGGCTGATCTATTTAATCCACTCATGTTTCCAGCGCGTTCCCTTTTTTTTAAACCCACTAGGTTAGATTGGGACAGGAGTTAAACGGTAAACAGTCTAAAAATATATAAAAATGAGTGTGCTAAATAAATTTACAACCATCAAAATGACTGTACAACGATGTATTTTATTATGTAGTACTTAAATCAAGCTAATCATTTGCACCTCTCAGATTTGCTATGAAAACCAAGTTATTGAAAACAGATTTTGATATTTTTCTGTCTTCTTTAACATGACTTTTTAATTGAATTTCGTTGAAATTAAGTGTTGTAGACTCATAACAATTTAAAAATCCGTTATTGACTAAAGACTATCAAAACAAAAAGATAGTTCAGCTTATACACCTTGAGAGTAGTTATTCATTTAAACTAGAAAAAAGTATTAGTTAAAGCTCTATTTTAGCCTGAAACATAAGGATGCTTTGCTTAACAACATAAAATCATAAAAACTGGTGATATCATTAGCAACACAGATGAAATACACATAAACAAAAATGAAGACTAGAAAGTTGCAATGATGTTTAGATAAAAGAAAGTGTACCTTTCCAGTATCATTTTCACTTGGTTTTTTATATCCAAACCAAAAATTTTGCGAACATTTCTAAAGAAAAATCTGTTGTTATTATGTGTATTTTTATAACTGCTTTAATAATGACAGACAACAGTTAACAAGGAAATAACATATTTAACATAAAAGTTAAAGAGCCAATCTTTTGTATAAACAATTTCATCATTCAACTAAATAAAAACAACAAAATTATTCAGATCATTTAAAAATATATAAAAAAAAATTGCAAGCCTACTGAATGCTTCTTTTTTTTCTATCGTTCGTTTCACTGGCACTTGAACTTTAGAGAGAAATTGTAACTTTAGAGAGAAATTGTTTACAGGTTTTATTTTTCGTTTGAAAATAAATATTTAAATTTAATATGTAATAAACAACGTTCTTCAAGCACAATACATTAAAAAATTAGTCTAAAAAAAAATGGTCAAACTTTTTTTAAACACTTAACTGCGACTAACTTAATTGAGACTAGATCATATCGATACCATCTACTGGCACCACGCCATCCACTTTTGTTTCTTCCGATTAACATTTTTTAGCTAAGCAGCTGCAATTGTATATTTATTTCGGTATATATATATATATATATATATATATATATATATATATATATATATATATATATATATATATATATATATATATATATATATATATATATATATATATATATATACTATAATATATATATGCATTTATATTATGTATATTTTTTATAATATATTACTTTATTATATAAATTATTAAATAAATCCGCTTACCAAAATAAATTAATTTTTAATTAAATTTAATTGAAGTTATATAAAAGTATTTTGTAAACAAAAAACGGGCCAATCAGAACGTAACAAAGATATCGTAATAACGATACTGTGGGTTAAAACCCATTTTTGTTAGGTTCTATTGGCAATAATTATTTTTAATTTTCTTTAGCAAATAATGATTTCCTTATTAACAACCGATTGACGTCTTTTCGACCTCTTTTTTGAAGACGTCTTTTTAAAAGACGTATTTCCACGTCTTTATTTTGGCTGATTATAATAAGACATTACAAGTCATTAAAAAGACGCCTTTTATTTGTCTAAAGATGTCTTTTTTCTCACTGGGCATTTGCTTCTTTGATTAAGTTCTGCAATTAGAAACATATTTTAGTGGAATGAATTAGCAAAATTTTTTATAATCACGCGGATAAATTTTTCGCTGTAATTCTGTAAAATTGAGATTTTATAACTAATAATAATTTTACTGTTCAGTGTAGTTATGGCGATTTATAAATTATTCGAATTCTCTAAATTTGGAATTTGCATGATTTTTTTAGCGTGTTAAACAAAAGCTTTAGATACTATTTTTTTTTTTTTTTTTTGCTTTAAGTTTTCAAGAAATGTTTAAATAAATTTTTATTTAATTTTCTGAAAATTAAATAAAAATTTTTTATTTAATTTTCAAGAAAATTAAATAAAAAAGAGAGCTTTCCTCTTTTTTATTTAATTTTCCAAAATTTTTTATTACTCCTAATTGTGAATCTAAAGAACATCATTTTTTAATCTTCCGCTCAACAGCGGAATCCGCTCAACAGCGGATCAATTCCGCTCAACAGCGGAAGATTAAAAGAATTTTTAATCTTAAGATCATCAAACGCTCAACAGCGTTTACTTAATTTTAGTAAACGCTGTAATTTAAAAGTAGTTTTAAGACTCCAACTCCAATAGTAAAACTTCTCGGTATTGTACGTGCATGTACAAAATATTCAATTAACCCTATCCCAGTAAGCACAAGACGCATTTTAGACACTTATAGACGTCTAAAACTAGTCTAGGTAAAGACGCACTTTTATAGACGTTTTGAAGACATCTTTTAGACGTCTTTTAAAATGATGTTTAAAAGGCGTCTTTTTAAAAGATAAAAAGACGTCTAGAAGACGTCAATTTTTAAGACATCTTCTAGACGTCTTTTATAAAGGCGTTTTTAAAATGACGTTTAAAATGCGTCTTTTTAAAGTTTAAAAAGACGTTTAAAAGACGCATAATAAATAGTCTAAAAGACGCATTAATAGACGCATTAATCTAGATCAAGGCTAAAAGACGTTTTTTCTGAGACCTGTTTATAAATATGTCATTATGACTTCTTTTTGACGGCTTTTTCATTACGCGTTAAGTAGATGTCGTATATTCAAAGTAAAAACATAGTTTTTATTATTTTCAATAATTTGTTTAAGTTTTAAGTGTAAATTACTTTAAATTAAATTACTTTTTTACACAATTGCTAAAATTGTTGTCACAGGAATCACTAAAATAATTGCTATAATATTAATATATCTTTTTTTTATTAATAATTATTTTGCTTTTTTAATAGATAGTTGACTGATCATGATAATAAGTGAAAATGGCAAAAATAATATATAAGTTAAATATCAGTATTTTTAGTTTTTATACACCCACAAGCCATATAATAATTCAAGTATGCGGTCAAAAATTAGCTTGTAATAAACGTATGTTAAATTTCAATATAACCAAAGGTAAGTTATAAATGTTTTAAATACTGTTTTGATATATATTTGTTATTGTTATATATTATTTTCATCCTTGATGCATCAACCGTTTGAGGTGATTACAGCAATATTATTTTAAATTGCTGGTTCCTATGTATATCTTGTATATACGAAATTATAACTATGTATGATTTTATAAATACAATGAATATATACCACATAATACGCGAAAATGTTACGTCATGTACTTAAATTTATTTTGAAAAAAACGTCTAAAATACGTCTAAAACGCGTTTTTATAAAGACGTCTTCGATTAGACGTCTTTTAGCCTTATGATCTAGACGTCTACAAGTGCGCCTTTTAGACCTCCTTAAAGACATCTTTAAAACGTCTTTTAAACGTCTTTGTGCTTACTGGGATGTTCATACTAAACCTCAAAGAACGTTTCATAAATTAGTTAAAAAAGAATTTTTTAAACTTATTGTTTAAAAAAAAAAAAAAAAAAGAGTTTTTCAAAAATTTTGCTTTGGAGTTGGGGTAGGAGTCGGGGTTGAAGTCGGGGGTATCCGAAATCTTGCATATAACTAACAAACAATAGGCAAACAAAAACACACGTACAAATCACAAACTAACTCAATACAGTATATAAGTATATACAGTATATAATTCGATATACAGCCCGACGGGCATTTGTTTTTAAAAGTTACGTTCTAAATGTATTTTAAATGTCTTTTAAACGTCTTCTAAACATTCTTACGCAAAAAACGTTTAAAAGACATTTAAAATACATTTAGAACGTAACTTTTAAAAACAAATGCCCGTCGGGAGTATGTAACTATTATAATAAATATAATTATTATAAATATAAATTATGAATATAAATATAATTATTATAATAAATATAATTATTATAAATATAAATTATAAATATAAATATAATAAAGTATTATAATCGACAGTATATAAATCGATATACAGTATATACAGTATATAAATTGATATACGTGTTATAACCATAGCCAGATTGAAGTAGAGGCCCAGGGTAGGACAATTAATTATTTTCATAGTTTGTTGTTACAAAAATAACAAAAATAAAAAATAAAACAAACATAACATGTATAATAAAATACAAAAATAAATACTGGAGAACTGAAGCCTCGATATAACATCATGAATAACAGTGTTTCAACTTCTTCAGTTGCCATCATTTTGTTTTTAAGTTACTTCAGTTTTTCTTTTTATCAGGCATCCTCCAGGGAATCTAAAACAATGTTATTTCACGGTAAATAGGCCGGGTGAATAAAAATGAGCAATTGCTTTTACTCAGTAATTGGTCGGCTTTACGTGAATAAAAACAAAAGGAGTTTTGCTCAAATTTTTATTTACGTAAAGTTAAGCAATTTACTTAGTAATTGTTCGGCATTACGTAAATAAAAACTTAGAGAAAATTCCTTTAGCTTTTATTCACGTAAAGCTGACCAATTACTGAGTAGAAGCAATTGCTCGTTTTTATTCACCCGGCCTAATGTTTGATTTTATTAAAAACAAACATTTAACGTGTTATTTACAATTGTTTTTAAAATTAAAAACAACTGTAGTTTTGACCACAATAAATTTTGTATTAAAATTATTTTCACAATGTAAAATTTACAATTATAGACAAGTGTAGAGTACTTATATTATTATATATAATAGTTATATTCATGATTAGTCAAACACAACGTATTTCAGTTATCGTGGACCAAAATTTATTATTTAACTTCATGTTGTCTTAGAGCTACATTTTGTGATTAAATTTATTTCACAGCAGATTCTCAAAAATATACACACCCTAATAAATTGTTTTCAAAAATCATTATAAATAGACAACTTTTAAACTTTACTACATTGTAACAATGACAGTATGTATTGATAACAATACATGCTGCCATTAAACTATTAAAAAATTAACTATTGAAATAATATTGCATGAATAACATACATGCTTTACCATATATATTATTACAGTATTATTTACAAATAATTCACAATATAAAAAGTTGATTCCCTTCTGGACATAACAAGTGCAACTCCACAAAATGTTGATCAAGCTGTATTCCTCTATCAATATTTCGTGGCGAATCCTTTGTTGTCGTTGCACAGCCTTGCATCTTCGAGGCATAGATTCGATCAGGTGATCAATGAAACTTTGTGGAATTGCTGCCCAGGTCTTTTGGATTTGTTCAAACAGTTGATCCTTATGACGAACACCTTCACAATTAATTCTGCGGTTGACGTTCTCCCACAGGTTCCCGATAGGGTTGAGATCCGGAGATTGAGGCGGCCAATCCATCACCGATAGGTGGTTGTCTTGAAACCACTGCTTGACTACTTTTGCAGTGTGTTTCGGATTGTTGTCTTGCTGAAAAACCTATTTTATTGGCATATTCCATTCAGCATGAGGTAACATAACATCTTTCAGGATATTTTTATACATGAAACGGTCCATTATTCCGTCTATTTGATGTATTGGACCTAGATCATAGCAGAAAAACACTCCCAGACCATTAGATTGTCTTCACCATGCTTCACGGTTTTATGGCAGTAACGTAAATTGATGCGTTTTCCGGCCGGTCGACGTACACGGCAAATGCCATCGCTCCCAATAATGTTGAACTTCAATTCATCACTGAACAGGACAGTTCGCCGTTTCTGAACATTCCAGTAAATATGAGATGTAGCAAACAAGAGTCTTTTGTTCTGGTTCTTTAGTGAAATCAGCGGTTTCTTTGCAGGGCGTCGAGAAAACAATCCGGCTTCAACAGAACGTCGTCTGATTGTTCGGTCCGATACAGGCAGCTCTAATTGCTTTTGTATCTCGACTGATGATATCTAGGGATCTTTCTTGACGGATCTGACGATCATAGAATCCTCTGACTGAATTTCATGTCGGTTTACATGTCTCTTATATAGTTAAATGAACCTATGTGAACCTGTTCTGGAAGATTCTAGATGCTTCTTTTCGATGCTTCTGGAAGCTTCTGGATGCGTCTGGATGCTTCTGAATGTTTCTGAATACTTCTGGATGCTTCCAGATGCTTCTTCTAGAAACTTCTGGAAGCTGCAAAATGGCACTTGTCAATGAAATTCTGCCTGTGTGGTGTCACCTGTCAGCTGATTGCTCATGTCATGGCATGCTATGACTCCAGACTCCTGAACTGTTTACTGTGGTAGTATAGTTCGTTTCGTTTTTAAGACATGTAAAATTAGGAACACTTTTTAGCATTGTTCGATATTGGTTGCAAATGTTTTGTCTAATACTGTATATATTCATTACTGTATATATTCAATACTGTATATATTCAATACTTAAAATTCAACATTTCCCGTTTTTAGACTAGCCAAACTGTTTCTAAGGCAAATGGCTGAATATTGCTATCAAAATATATACACTTTTATATCTTAAAGAATTTTAAAAATGCATTTAATGAATAAATCTATTCAAACAAATAATTTTTTTATTATTACAGACAAATAAAGTTAAACGTTAAAACACCTAATAATTTTTGTTATTACTAACTATTATTTACAAATAATTCACAATATAAATAATTTAAACATTTTTTCATACAAAACCTTATATTATAACTTATAATTTCAGTTACAGCATTTATAATATAATGATATATTATAATATAATGATATATATGTAAAATCGTTTTGTTAAATTAATAAAATTTGTAAAATCGTTTTGTAAAATCGTTATCGTAATTGTGAATGTCTTAGTATTGCTATTAAAATATTTATACTTTTATTATAGCTATGCAAATAATTATTTTTTTACAAAAATACTAAAAATAAACCAAATTAAGTTCCTGTTCACTCCAAATGCAAGTGTATATTTATTCAATCCAAATCAATCTGCATTACTGCGTATATGTCATTTTAAAAGGTTTTATCGTATTTTCAAGCATAATTTTTGTCGTAACCGTTGCACCATATGGGACCCATCTTTTACAAAGTTCATCATCATCTAAAATCACCCAGTAATACATCCCAGCTGGGACCCAGTTATCGTGGTTAACTGGGGAGTTTGGCAGACCTTAAAACGGCACACCCAAACTCGGTAAACAACGAAAGCTTTCGTTACAAAAATTAAAAGTCAATTTTTATTGGCTAATAAATTAAAACCAAGTTTGGGGTGCGTCGTTTTAAGGTCCGCCTTTTTTTTTAGACTTATTAAATGTTTTATCGAAGGCATATTCTGTAATTATGCAATAGACAAACGTTGGTGACAATGTTTAGTTTAGTGTGCTTACAGTAACTGTGTTTAGTGTGAAGTAGTGTTTAGTGTGTAGTAGTTTAGTGTGCTTACAGTGTACTGTAAGCACTAAACCATAAAAACTATTTTAAAAAATTTTTAACATTTGTCTATTGCATAATTACAGAATCTGCCTTCAGTTCGATAGAACATTTAACAAGTCTAAAAAAAAGTAAACGTTAACACATCTTAAACTTATTAATAGCTCAGAAACTTGGTCTGAATTTCAGTCTAAAATTTCATTTCTCAAATTTCTTAAATGTAGGACATTTAAGAAATTTGAGAGCAATTCATATTTTCTTTTTTTGTGTGTGAAATTGTTTTTTAAATGGATGACTAAATATTGATTTTAACATATTTACACTTTTAGTATTGAATTAAAACTGATATGTAAATATTTTTTACAAAAAAACAATAAAAAAACCAAATGAAGATTCTGTGTATGTTTACTCTTAATGCAAGTGTATATTCAATCTAAATCAAGCCGCGTTACTACAACTGATATTTTAAAAGAGTTTTGTAATTTTAATTTAACAAAACTTTTGAATAAAAACGATGCAAAAAAACCGCTTTGATTAGAAAATACACGCTACCCACGCGTTCCATCTTTAAACCAGCTGTAAACCATTTACGGAAGCCCCATTCCAATCCCAGTAAAAACCAATATTTTATTTGCATCATTATTTTCGAACCATATGGGACCCATCTGGAAACCAGAGCAAATACCAGTCCGAACCCAATACCAGTAGTCACTGTTAACCCCGCTGGGACCCAGTTGGGAACTGGGAAGTTAATTGGCTTCCAATGCAAATAACGATAATCGTTCTTGAAAGCTTTGCAAGGTCATCGCAGATGGCGGTCGTGTTTTTTTAACCGTTGAAAAGGAAAAAGGAAATAAAGGAAGGCAATTAAAAACTGAATTAATTACTTACTTGTTTCAAATAAAGAATTCAAAAATATCAAAATAAAAGAAGAATAAAGCAAAAAAACATATAATATAAAAAGAAACTTTTAACAAATAAACACTCAAAAGCAACATTCAAAAAAAAAAAAAAAATAAAAGAAAATTCGAACATCGATTTTTACTTTACAAAAAAAGAAAAAGAAATAAAAAGAAAAATAGTTAAATAAAAAGAGAAAAAAAGTTGATAAATTAATAAGAAGATCAGAAGAAAAGATCAGTTTCTGAAAAGAGTTGATAATTTTTATAGTTTTTAAATCCCAGTGGGAAAAAAGACATCTTTAGACAAATAAAAAGCGTCTTTTTTATGACTTGTTATTTCTTTTTAAATTCAGCCAAAAAAAAAGACGTGGAAAGACGTCTTTTAAAAAGACGTCTTCAGAAAAGAGGTCAAAAAGACGTCAATCGGTTGTTAATAAGGAAATCATTACTTGCTTAAGAAAATTCAAAATAATTATTGCCAATCGAACCTAACAAAAATGAGTTTTAACCCACAGTATTGTAATTACGATATCTTTGTTACGTTCTGATTGGCCCGTTTTTTGTTTACAAAATACTTTTATGTTAAACGTTTTTGTATAGGAAATTTAATTAAAAATTAATTTCTTTCGGTAAGCGGGTTTATTTAATAATTTATATAATAAAGTAATATATTATAAAAAATATACATAATATAAATGCATATATATATTATAGTGTATATTTAAGCTGCAATTGTATATTTATTTCGGTATATATATATATATATATATATATATATATATATATATATATATATATATATATATATATATATATATATATATATATATATATATATATATATATATATACCGAAATAAATATACAATTGCAGCTGCTTAGCTAAAAAATGTTAATCGGAAGAAACAAAAGTGGATGGCGTGGTGCCAGTAGATGGTATCGATATGATCTAGTCTCAATTAAGTTAGTCGCAGTTAAGTGTTTAAAAAAAGTTTGACCATTTTTTTTTAGACTAATTTTTTAATGTATTGTGCTTGAAGAACGTTGTTTATTACATATTAAATTTAAATATTTATTTTCAAACGAAAAATAAAACCTGTAAACAATTTCTCTCTAAAGTTACAATTTCTCTCTAAAGTTCAAGTGCCAGTGAAACGAACGATAGAAAAAAAAGAAGCATTCAGTAGGCTTGCAATTTTTTTTTATATATTTTTAAATGATCTGAATAATTTTGTTGTTTTTATTTAGTTGAATGATGAAATTGTTTATACAAAAGATTGGCTCTTTAACTTTTATGTTAAATATGTTATTTCCTTGTTAACTGTTGTCTGTCATTATTAAAGCAGTTATAAAAATACACATAATAACAACAGATTTTTCTTTAGAAATGTTCGCAAAATTTTTGGTTTGGATATAAAAAACCAAGTGAAAATGATACTGGAAAGGTACACTTTCTTTTATCTAAACATCATTGCAACTTTCTAGTCTTCATTTTTGTTTATGTGTATTTCATCTGTGTTGCTAATGATATCACCAGTTTTTATGATTTTATGTTGTTAAGCAAAGCATCCTTATGTTTCAGGCTAAAATAGAGCTTTAACTAATACTTTTTTCTAGTTTAAATGAATAACTACTCTCAAGGTGTATAAGCTGAACTATCTTTTTGTTTTGATAGTCTTTAGTCAATAACGGATTTTTAAATTGTTATGAGTCTACAACACTTAATTTCAACGAAATTCAATTAAAAAGTCATGTTAAAGAAGACAGAAAAATATCAAAATCTGTTTTCAATAACTTGGTTTTCATAGCAAATCTGAGAGGTGCAAATGATTAGCTTGATTTAAGTACTACATAATAAAATACATCGTTGTACAGTCATTTTGATGGTTGTAAATTTATTTAGCACACTCATTTTTATATATTTTTAGACTGTTTACCGTTTAACTCCTGTCCCAATCTAACCTAGTGGGTTTAAAAAAAAGGGAACGCGCTGGAAACATGAGTGGATTAAATAGATCAGCCCTTTTTGAATTAATAGTCGGTAAGTATAATGTGCTCCACTCAGCTAATGAAGTTTCGTTTGCTTTTTTTGTATTTTATTTAAGCAATAGACTGTTTTTTATGTTCACTCGTTTTTTAGAAGTGGTAACCAGCTAGAAGTCGTAACCTGCTCGTATGAAAAGATTTCTCGACGTGAAATCGTTAGTTTTATTCCACAACGCCAAGAAACAGAGCTCGCTCAAGAAACAGAAAAGAAAGAGAAAGATGAAAAAATACTCTGTTGAACAATACTATTGTTTTGTTTATAAATTATTCTCCTATTTTTAAATATATAAAAGATGTAAAAAATGCTTCCTCTTTTATATTGACATCTAAAAGAGGTTTTTTTTCTCGGCATCGGAAAAAGCTTTTTGTCATACTTTGTATAAAGAGCTATTATCATTTTCATTTGAAAAAGATAGCTTTTCATATAAGAAAAGTAGGAATGCTATAGTGTAAAGGGTACTTATATATATTTTACTAATAAGTATGGCAAAAAAGTTGTTTCGACCCCGAGAAAAAACGCTTTTTTAGATTTGCATATTCGACTAAAAAAAGGCGTCTTAAAGGCGCATTTTTTATGTCTTTTTATGACAAGATTAAGATAAAAAAAAAACGTCTTTTCGATGTCGAAAAAAAATGTCTTTTAGATTTGCATATTCGACTAAAAAAAAGCGTCTTATAGACGCATTTTTTATGTCTTTTCATGACAAGATTAAGATAAAAAAAGACGTCTTTTCGATGTCGAAAAAAAGATGTCTTTTAGATTAACATAATCAATTAAAATAAGACGTCTTAAAGACATCGTAAATAAGACTTTTAAAGACGTCTTTTCGACGTCTTTTTTCCCACTGTGTTGTATCTATTATTTTTATCTTATTTTAAATATTATTTTTATTTATATTACTACACTTTATTATTAGATTACTTATTTTGATATATAATACTTAATACTTTTTTTTATTATAGTTATTATATTTTTTAATTTACATTTCTCTTAACTTTAATTAGTATTTTTACTCTTTTAGTCTGATTTTATGATTTTCTTCAAAATTTTTTTTTTTGTTATAGTTTACTGTTTGTTTGGCTGTTGCGTTATTGTTTAACTACCATTAATATTATTTATTATAATTGTTAGTTTTTCGATACTTTAATTGGTTGTTCTTAATTATCTATTTATACGCATTATTTTATTTTAACAAATATTAATAACATAGCTATTTACTTCCTACTTATTGTTTCTTACATTCTCTCTAATATTGCGGTTCCACTATGGCTTTAAACTGTCATTTGTGTAAAAAATTAATTAGTCAAAGTTGCCGCTCATCTCAATGTAATATTTGTTTATTTTGGTCTCATACAAAATGTGACAGGCTTAATGATACTAAGTACAGTTTACTTCAATTAAGTCGCTCGTTGCAGAGTTGTTTAAACTGTATTAAAAGTGTCTTCCCGTTCACAGATGTACAAGATAATGAATTTAAGTTGCTGTTTTCTTCTGATATAATTCTTAAAACTGATGATTTACCTCTGTCTACAAACTGTTTCCCGTCTTTTCATTTAAATAAAGTCTCAAATCAAATTAATAATTATGTTTCATCTCGTGTTTTAGATTCTAAGGAAGAAAATCCTTCTTCATTAGACATATTTTGTAAATATTATGACATAAGCGAATTTTGTACACTTAATTTTAATAAAATAAGCGCTCTCTCCTTTTCTCATCTAAACATATCATCGTTACAAAAACACTTTGAGGCAAGGCCGGCGCAATAGGGGTGGGGGGGGGGGGGTGTGTGACACCCCCCATCAATGATTTTTAGTCGGCAAACTGGACCCTTTGTTGGCAAATCGGACCCTTTTAGACTAGTTAGTCAAATGTGGCCCCTTTCGACATAGGTTAGACAGTCGGCAAATGTCGTAATGGCAGTCGGCAAATTTTGGAAAACGAGGACCTTTTTTTTTTTTTTAGTCTGCAAAAGTTGTAATGGCACCCCCCCCCCCACGTGACACTTACTCGCCGGCGAGTAGGTGTCACGTGGGGGGTGAAACCCCTCCCCCCACCCACGTGACACCTACTCGTGCAGGGCCGGATGGAAAAATCAAAATTAATTAATGATAATATTATGTTTAAATCCTCAAAGTTTGAGGATTTAAACATAATATTATCATTAATAAATTTTGATTTTTCCATTATTGGTGTAACTGAAACAAGGTTTAAAAAAAGAACATCAATTCATCCGATTCTCATTGATATTTACAACATTGAGCAGACACCAACGGAATCCTCATGTGGCGGTACATTACTATATTTATCAAAAAAACTAATATAAACGAAGAGATGATTTAATGATTTATTTACCTAATTGTTTAGAATCCACATTTGCTAAAGTTATTTTTTCTAAAAAGTCTAATATTATTGTTGGTTGAATTTATAGACACTCTTGCATAGATATTTTTATTTTTAATAATATCATGTCTGTCTTACTTCAAAAAATATCTGCTGAAAATAAATCTGTTTTCTTACTTGGTGATTATAATATTGATCTGATGCAATCAAATAATGACATTGCGACATCTTATTTTTTAAACTTATTTTCTTTTTCTAATATTCGCCCTTTTATCACATTGCCAACTAGAAGTACTGATCACTCTGCTACAATTATTGATAATATTTTCTCTAGTTTAATAGCTAATGAAATTGTTTCAGGAAATTTGACAACTTCTGTATCTGATCACTTACCTCAATTTTGTATTTGTCCCAATTTCAATAAATTATTTATACAACGCAGACACAATTTATATAGCTAGAGTTTTAAAAAATTTAATAAAGAAAACTTTAAATATGATATATCAAAAATTGACTAGGACGATATTACAAAGTCCAATGATACTAACACATGTATCCAAACGTTTATTACTGAAACAACTTTGATTTTAGATCGTTACGCTCCACTTAAAAAAATAAATATAAAAAACTTCAAATGTCGATTCAAACCATGGGTTACAAAAGGAATTATAAAATCTATTCAAGTGCGCAATCTTTTCCAAAAAAAAATGTTAAGATCTAACGATCTTATTAATAAATAAAAATTTGAAAGTATTTTTAAAAGATATAAATATATGATAGTTACATTAATTAAACTTAGTAAAAAAAACCATTTTAAAATTTTTTTCTCAGAAAATGTAAAAAATCTTCGCGAACTTTGGAAAGGTATTAACACTCTAATTAATGTAAAAATTTGAATAAATCATCGCCCAATTGTTTGCAAGAAAATGATACATATATAACTGACCCGACTTTAATCTCTAAATCATTTAACAATTTTTTTACAAACGTTGCTCATAAACTCAAATCCAATATTCATTCATCTTACATTAACTATCAAAAATATCTTAAACATCCAAATTTACATAGTTTATTATTATCTCCAACAAATATTTCTGAAATTTCATCTCTTATATCTAAATTGAATCCAAAAACATCATTAGGTCCAAACAGTATTCCCACAAATATTCTAATAGATTTTAACTACGATTTTTCAAATATTTTTTCTAAACTATTTAATATCTCATTTATAAATGGAAAATTTTCTGATATTTTGAAATTATCTTGCGTTATTCCAATATTTAAAAATGGCTCTAAACTTTCATGCATTAACTACAGACCTATCTCTCTTTTATCTAATATTAGTAAGCTTCTTGAAAAACTTATGTATTCTAGAGTGTACTCTTTTCTAAACTCATTTAATTGTTTAAATGATTTTCAATTTGGTTTTCGATCAAAACATTCTACTTGCGATGCATTAATAAGTATAACGGAAAAAATCAGGAAAGCTCTTGATACTGGTCATTTCGTTTGTGGTGTTTTTATCGATTTACAAAAAGCTTTACTGCGATACTGATACTAAAAGCGATACTGTTGACCATATTATTTTGATTTCTAAATTAAAACATTATGGAATTCGTGGTATTGTAAATGACTGGTTGTCATGGTATTGTAAATGAATGGTTTCGATCTTATCTTGCAGATCGAAAACAATTTGTAAGTATTAATGGTTTCAATTCTAGTTATAAATCAGTTTTGTGTGGTGTTCCTCAAGGTTCTATTCTAGGTCCTCTTTTGTTTTTAATCTACGTTAACGACCTGTTTGCTGATGATGCAAATCTTTTGCACATCAACAAATCGTATCATTCTTTATGTAAAAATGTTAATTCAGATCTAAAAGGTATAGTTCACTGGTTAAATGCTAACCTATTATGTCTCAACACCGAAAAAACTGAACTAATTTTTTTTTCATCTCCAAGAAAAAACAATTTCTTTGAAAATGTTGAAATCAAAATCAAAATTAATAATAAACGGCTATATCCTTCAAGAGTTATTAAATATCTTGGTGTATTAATTGATTGTAATCTTTCATGGAACTTTCATATTGATGAACTAAGCAAGAAACTCTTAGTTCATCAATATGAAATATGTAATCTCGAGCTAACGGTATGCTTTCAATAATTTGTTATTATGTCAATAAAGTTACACTTAGGAGTATTTCCTATGCATTATTTACTATGCATTATTCTTAGCTATTGTTGTCAAGTTTGGGGTCAAGTTGGTAACTATCGCATTAACAAGTTGCTATCGTCTCAGCGTCAATCCATCAGATTAATAAACTTCCTACCAATTAAATCAGATACATCAAATTCATTCAAAAAACTTTTCATTCCAACATTTCCAGCGCTAGTAAAGTATGCTAATCTTCTTTTTGTTTTTGACTCCTTAAATAAAAATATACCATCTCCTATCACAAACTTGTTCACAGAAAGTAGACTATTACATTCCTACTCGACTAGAAATATACACAATGGAAAACTAAATGTACCATCTTTTAAAACCCAAAAGTATGGTAAACGTTCTATTGTTTATCAGTGCGTCAGCGAATGGAACAAGAGCCTTGCATGCATTTTGAATGAGTCTAAAATAATATATCCTAAAATACCTTTACTCCATCTTAAAAAATATTAATTTAAAAAAATTCTCAAAAGCAATTTATTCTAACTTTTTGACATTATTATCTTTATGATTTAAATATTGTTTTAATTTTCTTTTCGTAATTACTACAATTATTATCAGCACTTTTTTATTTTTTTATTTATTGGTAAAACCTGCAAATTGATTTCTACATGTTTGCTTGATGTATATTTTATGTGCTTTGGTTTGTGTGTTTACGGTCCATGTGTTTCAGTGTGTGTCTTTGCTTATTATTACTTATACTATATTAAAAATTGGTGTCACTCCTTTGATCAGATTTCTGTATGAGTTACACCATCCTAATAAATCATTAACTTATTATTATATTAATATTAGTTATTATTATTATTTTTTCATTGTAATTATTCTAGACATACTTATTATTACTAATACTATAATTTGTATAATTATATTTTTCATCTTATCTTATTATTATATATTTTTGCTATTATTACTATTATTATTATTATCATTATTATCAAAACTATTGTAAAATGATTTACGGAAAATAAATAGCTTGTTGTTGTTGTTGAAACTGTTCTACATTAGCGTGGTCAAAGATACATTTTTTAATTTTTTGTTGTGCTGAATTTTTATTTTAGAGCTTGATCGAATTGCTAAGAAAATTGGAAAATGGTCAGATATATCTGTTTTTAGAGTTCCTTTTTGAATATCATTGTTAAAGATATCTGTTATGATGATGTTATCTAGCAGAGTCGCAGAGTTTATTGTCACTCTAGTAGGGCGATTGATCAAGGGTACAGCTCCTGCTTCAAAAATCGAGTCATTTTTTTAATTTTGAAGTCGTTGTTATAGAGAAAACAGTTCATATTAAAATCTCCGATAAGAAAGTTATTTATTATTATTAAATTATTGTTAATGGAAATTGTGTTATTAGTAATTTAAGGTTATAGCTTAAGCAGCCGTGTTGCAGTGGTAGCGCACTTGCCTCAGAAACGTAAGATCCGAGGTTCAAACCCCACCTCTAGGCAAGCTTTGCGACATCGGTTGGGAAGGAGGCGTGAACTTCCCATTAAATGCTCTTCCGTGGTGCTCTGTGATAAGACCGTAAGGACTTCTTGGGGCACCTTAATCAACTTAAAAAAAAAATAACAATAATAAAAAAAAAAAAAAAAAAGTTCTTGTATTATTGTTTAGAATTTCAATAGTTAAAGTTTCTTTATCCCCGTTAGGAACTTTTAAATCATTCCCAAGACAATGCACGATAATATCATTTACATAGATACGAACTCCACTATCGCGTTTATTATTTTGCCTCTCTAAAGAGATTAATTCAAAATGAAGAAGATGAAAAATTGCGTTATTATTTGTCGAATTAATCCAACTTTTAGTTAATCAAATTAATTATTAAAAAGGTTTTTAATTTCTTCCATAAGATTTAAAATTTTTTCAAAATTACGACTGAGACTTCTTATGTTAATGTGGAGGATTCTTATCTGAGTTTTCATAGTTTTTGTCATTAGTTTTCTTATATAAAGAAAAAAAAAAAAAAAAAAAAACTCTTTTAACTCGCTAGGATAATGATTTAAGGAATCAGTGAATAAATCACAATAGTAATTTATGTTTGGGTCGACGTTTTTATCCGATGAGAAATAATTAGTTTCTGAAAAGTTGAAGGTTTCAAAATCATTTATTGTTCAAAAACATTTATTTCCGACATTTTAATTAGCGTAAAATTATAAAAAATTTTTTGTTGTTTTTTCGCAATACTTAACTTAAAAATTACTATTTATGTTCCCTACAAAAAATTGTGTCAAATTTTAAAATACTTACCTTCTTTTCGCAACTTTATAACACCTTCCCATTTTTCGAACTCGAATAGTTTCCTTTGCAAGGTCTTCTCATTAATGTAAATGTTCCGCGTAGGTTTTTTGACTCGAGGAAAATGTTTTGCTTGTCGTTATAATTTATTAGTTTTAAAACAATTGTTCGCTCTTTTCCTGTTTTAATTGAGCTCGATCTGTGCGCTCTTTTAATTATAATATCTTAATTAATTTGGAGTTTTTCAGTAAATATGTTTTTAACAATTTTTTTACAATCTTCCCAAGGTAGCTCTTTAACCAGGTAGTTCTTTAACACCATTAATTCGCAAATTATTTCTTCGGGATCGATTTTCGAGATTTAATTTTTTTAGACTATTAATTTTTTTAATTATCTTTCGATATATTTGATTCATTATGCGAATCAGGAAGTGTTTTTTCAGGAAGTTTTTCAGGGAGTGTTTTTCAGGAAATGTTTTTTCATTAAAATATCTTTTAAGGGTATATGCGTTTGTTAGTTTCGGATATCCTTTTCATTGAAATCTCTTCTAAAAAATCAATACTCGCTTTTAATTCACTAATATCTTTTTGCACACTTTTTATTTTTATTTTGTCGTTGTTCAAATCGCTTTTAATTTTTTCTCGTCTGTCTGTTATTATTTGTATATCACAAGTGAGTTTTGCAAAGTGATTTTTGCAAACTTCTTGTTCTTTAAGAAGTTTTTCTGTTTCTTTTAAAATACACTTTCTCTGTTCTTCTAACATGTTTTTCATTAGTTTTTTTAATATTTTTTATAGAAACTTCCATAGTAATTGGTGAACGTCTTAAGTTGTGAAACGAATAAATGTAAATGCATACATTTTTTAATTGAGCAGCGGAGCACAAGTGTTTTCTTCAGAGAATTAAGTGCAAAAAGCAACAATAACAACAACCATAAAAGCTTTCAAACTTTCAAATGTTTCAAACTTTCAAAGGTTTTAAACTTTCAAAACAAACATTCAAATACAAAACACTTTTCAATGACAACAACAAATTAAAAAAACATATATCTAAAGATTTCTGAAGCTTCCGAACTTATTAAACCAAATTTAAACCAAAAAAAGAAAATACCACCTGACCTCTCCACCAGAAACAACAAATTAAACTGCTTTCAAAATTTTATATTTTCAGAGCTTCAGATCTTTCGAAGCAACTTTCAAAAACAAACAAAAAACTTTCAAAAATATTGACAACTTTCTAATCAACTTTCAAACTTTAAAAAGCTTCAAAATAAAACAACGACTTTTAAAAGAAGCTTCAAACTTTCAAAACAGTATTAGAAAAAAAAAAAAAGAACAACAACATACTAATGACTTTTAAAACTTAAAAAAAAACCTTCAAATAACTTTAACATCAACAACTATCAAAGTAATCTTTCTTCTTTTACTCAATGTCACTTTTCTTTCATTAAATTTTGCAGTTGTAAAAACACGTCTTCACTTCAAAATTGCTGTCAAAAAAAAAAAAAAAAAAAGTTTAATGTTGCTAAAGTTATTTCTCAATTAAACTTTCCTACAGCTTGTGGTCATGACAACATTTCTGTCATAGGCTTACAAAGTTGTTCTCCAGAACTCTCTTCAATCTTCTCTAATATTTAATAAGTGTTCGACTGAATCTCTGAATTTTTTTGCCTGCTGGAAAATGGCATATGAGGTTTCAATTTCGATAAAAATTTGGAAAATTCTAGTGTTTTTAATAATTGAAACTGAAAATTCTGATTTCACTTTTGTTACAGTTTTGGGCTTGCATTGGCATGTGAATTTTAACTCCAAAAAAACTCAGTTATTCAATGAAAACAACTATCGCAATACTGTCAACATTCCTATAATAATGAATGGCACCCCTCTCACCCAGTCCTCTACATTACGTCTTTTCGGATTATCATTCACTACAAACTTCTTATGGAAACCATATATACAATAGATTGCTAAATTATTATCTGCTAAGGTTGCTTCTTTTTATCGTGCTCGCCATTATCTAATTCCTGATTCTATTCTCTATCTTTACAAATATTTTATTTGTCCCTTTATGGAGCATAGTTGTCATATTTAGGCTGGTTTGTTACTATACTATTGAAACATTTTTTTAACAATGACACATATTATGAACAGTGAGTTTTAAAAACCCGTATTTTTCAAAAAATTAATTTCATGTTTTATACAATATTTGTTCCTCTAATTAAGACCCAATAAACAAATAAAGACTTATTAAAACTCTACACCTAAAAAAGCCACTAGTTTTAGATGGTTCAGGTTTATCTTAAAAATTAGATTTAAAATTTCAATAGAAATTTTCAATTATTGTACAAGAAATCTTTATTTTTTGTTAATTTTTTTCCCCTGCATAATTACAGAAAAAAACGCAAGATTTCTGAATCATCGATGTGACTGTACTATGTTAAATTCTATCTAAATAAAAAAATAATTATACCGATTGTAAAGCCAAAACGTTTATCAATGGTCTTGATCATTTTGAGCAATTGAAAAAAATAATATATCAAGCGAATACGCAAAAAATAAACTGTGTAGCCAGTGAAATTCTATTAAAAATTAATGAACCACAATAGATGTTTAGAATTTAATGTCAAAATAGATCAAATTATTTAAATAATTTAACATATTTTAGATGACGTAATAATTTATTACATTATAAAAGTTAAATTGAGTGCAATATTGAAAAAATAATAATAATGAAAAAAAAATGTAACTATTCATTTATATATAATTTTCTTATACTTAGTTTAAAAATCTTGCGATGAGATAGGAGGAAGAGGTGCCGATCCACCGCCAATATTAATTTTATTTATGTCTTGCTCGGTTTGTTCTATCTTTGCTAAAAATCTATGTCCTGAATTGAAATCATCGTAAATTTTATAGCCATCAAAATTACTATTGACTATCTTTGCTGACTGGCAGTCCGGAAGTTTTTTGTATCCATACTCATCTGTATACAAACTTGTTGAATCAAACGGCGCTTCGTCTGATCGAAGATTACTTTGTCTTTTAGAAAATCGCAAAGGTTGAGCAGTATGCGCTCTGTAGTTTTCAGTAGATTCAGTCGTACCATCAAATGGAGTTTTAGGCGATTCCCATTTAGCTGTTTTATGTCTCATTGCTCTACCTGTCATGCTATGCGGCAGATAATTCTTACTGTATGTAGTATCACTTTCAAATTGTCCATCTTTTCGTCCAAGATTAGACTTCGGTCGTACGCCTTTTGTTCTTTCATTTTTTTCACCGAACTGAAAATAACTATCGGTTGTTGTATGATAGTCGACTTTACCAGATCGCGGCCTTAAACTAGACAAGGGCCTGCCGGATTTTTGTCTTGGAACATCCCATTTTTTGTACGTCGCACTGTTAGTAGTGTCACCATCAAATGGATCGTTGCTTTTCAAAGCGTCGTCAGACCGCCTAATTACACGAGATTTTTGGACGTCTTTATGATGAGTAAAATCTTCTTGATTTGTTGTCCTAGAATCAAACGGAGTTGCTACTGGATTTAAATTATCTTTAGGACCATGTTTTACAGGTTTTACCCAATTCTTTCTAGGAACATAATCATTTTTCATTACAGACTGATCTATTGGCTCACCGTTACTATCATAAAGCTGAGTTTTACGATTTCTCTGATAATGCGCGGTCTCACCTCTTCCATTTACTTTATACTTTAGTTTATACTCTGAATCTTTCTGCATTTCCTCACTCGGAGTTTCAATTTGATCTTTAACACGTATCAAAACTCGACCTTTAACTTGATGGGGCAAATATGTTTCATGAGTAGTAGTTTTGTGGTCATGTTCACCGCCAGGACGTAAATGATCTGAAGGACGAGTAATTGTTTGGCGAGCATTTGGTGAGCTCCTCATATATTCTTCTGAATACTCCGTTGTTAATATACATGGCTGTGTTTGTTGCTTACGAAGACGTGAAGGAATGTAATGAAGACAGCGATGCCTTCTATAAATATCAATTTTCAAAATATACTACCGGTAAGTCTTACTTATTAAAAAAAGGTAAAAAAAAAATAAAAAAACTAACCCGCAAGAGCATATTTGACAAATACATTTCATGGTTGTTCTTCATAAAAAAACTAAATCATTCTTTTATAAACTTAATGCTTATAAGTAGTAAAAAAATTCCGTTGCTATAGCGTCATAAATATTATTAATAATACATCGTTCTTAAGCACATAACAATTATCTGAATTGAACGAAAATAAAAATCTGACAACTAGTTTTAATAATAAATTACTTTATTCTTTTCATATACCATTTAACTTGTGGTTTCTTACCATAGAAACATTTTAAAAACTTTTTCATGAAAAGTTGAAATGCAGACTTTCATTCTTCAGAGATACAATTATCTGTTTTTTTTGTCAAACTTATGATAGCGCATAAAAATGTTTAAACTTATAAATTAAAGAATATATTAAGTATGTTATTTATGAGCATGCGTTAAAATGGAAATTTAAACATGTCTTAAAATTTTTTCACTTTCTTAACAGCATTTTCCTCATTGTTTTCTACTTTAGGATAATTCAGAGTTTTTTCGTCAGGGTCATCCTTTACTTTCTCGGTAGCGTAAACAATTGGTTTTTCTTTACTTTCATTACTATTTTGATTTTTAATTTTGCTTATATTATCGTCTGGAAAATACGTAACAATTCCCAAGTATAAATTAATGTTATATTCCGGAATATCAAGCCCCAGGCCTTTCATTACTCCTTGCATTACATCATCGACGTATGAATGAATAAGTAGGCTAGCCTTTTTATCCTAAAAAGAAATAATGCGTTTCTTTTTTAGGCAAATAAATTTCACAAAATAATATAAAACATTTATTAAATATATAAGCATTTTAAGAATAATAATTGATAATAATACATCACAATAGCTTAATATGACACTTTAAATATAAAATAATTAAAATTTGAATAATAATAATAATAATAATAATAATAATAAAAAAGATAATAAATAACAAATAATAGCGAACAAAAAACCTACGTATTTTGTTTTTTGGAGATTAACAATAACTATCTTTCCGTTATTTTTAATAGTTAAAAGAGGAATTTTTCCACTCGGTACAATCTGTAAAGTTGTTCCCAAACACAGCGACAAATCACTTTTCCTAACAAGAAATATTACAAATTTACATTTCTGGAAAATATTTAAATAATATTTATTTACTTATATAGATTTTAAATTTAAATACTCTATATAGAAAGCAATAGATACAAAAATGATCAAGATTAAACCTACTTTGTTTCATTTTCTGCTCTTAAAAGATCATTTGGAGGTAAACTGGCTTCCCAATCCAAAATGGTGTCACGAAGTTTACCTCTAAAATAAGTTTTAATATATTTTTTGTCACAAGCAACGCAAAACTAAATGACTAAAGCAAGCTCAACCACGAGATTTTTACTTTTTGCTAATTGTAAAAACAAAAACAAAGACCTGCTTTTGTCTTTGACCCAATCAAAAGAACTATTTCTCTCAAAACGTTTTCACATTTTCGAGTTGCATATCTGCTATTAGTACCAAAACAGAACAAATTTGATAAAAAGTTAATTACGTCATCAGCAAAATTACTGATAGCATTCATAAACACAAAACTAATTCTTTTGCACACCCATGACAACTTAATCCCGTGAAATATATTTAAAAATCTATATTTTTGTTAATACTTAAAGATTCTGCCGTTAGTCATAATATTTTTTTTTTGTTTAAGCCGTTTTTAGTTTGACTCTCAAGAAAAGGTTCTATTTAGTGTTAGGAAAGCTGAAGAAGAACATAGAAAAAGAACATAGCATTGCAGATCGCATGCAATATCATTATGTATTTCAATTTATTATTGCGTACTAAATTTAGTGTAAGGAAAGCTGAAAAAGAACATAACATTGCAGATGGCATGCAGAATGGTTGCGTATTTCAATTTAGTATTGCGAATTTAACTTAGTGTTAAAAAAACTAAAAAAGAACATAGCATTGCAAATGGCATGCAATATTTAGGCATATTTTAAATAGACTATTACTACTACGCAATGCCTACAAGAAAATACATTATATAACTGAATAAATTAAATTTTTTTTTAGTGCCTCGGTCCTGGAAAGATGATTATTTGTAGGGCCGAGGCACTAATTGCCGCAGCCCTAGAAAGAATCTTCTGTTAAACTTCTGAACACCAGTACATCAGAAAAAACAAAAGATAAAATACTTTAAAAATACTGTTAGAATACACCCTTACCATTTAGATAAAAAAAGAGAGAAAATTATTTTAGTTGCAATATGAGCAATGAAAATTGCTGTTTATGTAAAAACTTTTTGTTATATGCTAGTAGATACAAAGATATTTTTTAGCAAATTCATTCCTATTGCAAGATTGTTTTTTTTTTAAACTTGTAAATTCATTTGATAGTAGATTTTTTGCTTTAAACTCATAGAAATGTTAAGTTATGAAGAATTTAAATTTGTGTTATCAAGAATGTATAAGAGGTGACTTGTTGCAGTTGTTGCAGATTATTTGTTATTATATATATATTTAAGCCACGCACTATTTAGTATTGAGTATATTTCTTTACTGATGTAAAATATGACTAAAATGAGTAAAAAAACTAAACATAAAAAAACCATCGCCATTGTTTTAAGCAATATTTTATATTTGCAGCCTTTGTAGTAGTTTTTCATGTGTTGTATCTTACTTCTGACCAAATTCACCAAACTTATTTACTTTTTGCAAGACTAATTTGAAATTAACTGTTTTATCTTTGGATCTCAGTATAAACAATTATTATCATTTTATTTGCTTTTTATCTCCATTTCAACTCTATTAAAATACATTAGTCAAATTCTTGGCCTGGGCATATGTATATATATATATATATATATATATATATATATATATATATATATATATATATATATATATATATATATATATATATATATATATATATATATATATACATCCATTCACCTACTTGTTGCAAAATAAGGTTTGCACCCTCTGAACACTCTTTTATGTGTTTCTGATATTAGTATATTTTTTTAGTTTTATGTATTTTTGATATTAGTAAATCACTTCAACTGCAGTGTTAAGTTATCTTTAAAGACTAACACTTTCCTTTACTTCCAGTAACTTCGGAGGAAACACAAGGTTCTATCTTTGGTTTTGTATTATTTCTTTTTTATATTAATGACCTTTCTGAAAATCTCAAGTCTAAAGTGACTTGTATTTGCCGACAAGCCAACTATTTACTTTTGTCTGAACAAAAAGTCATTACTTTTTGATTGCTTAGAAAAGACAGTAGATCTTGAACCTAATCTTTCCTAGGACAGCTTGGGGCTTGCAGTGGTTTGTAAATTTTATTCCAAAAGAAACTCAGAATTTGTCAAGCATTCTAGTTCTCAGTTATTTTCTACAAACAAATATCACAATACTTTTGACATCACTTTATTGATTCCTCTACTTTAAGCTTTTTAGGGATATTCTAAGTTAGCATCTTCTAGGATTATCACACCAAGTAAGCATCTGCTTACTTAGTGTAATAATTTCTTTTTTTCTGTTCATTATTTCTTTTTTCCTGATTCTATTTTCTACCTCTACAAATCTTTTTTTTGCCCCTGTATAGAATAATGTTGGCATAGTGTTTTTCTAAAGATGCCTTTTTATCTTCTATAAATTTATTTAATCTTTTTCCAAAAATCGTAAATGTAGTTGCTTTATCTGTTCTCTGTCATGTAACGACAATCATAAACAACAATGACTATCAGTAATATCAATGTAAGATTTTATATTGATTGTCTTGCAAGAAGTTTTGCACTTTTAAAAAATTTTTTTGCTTCCTTAGTTTAAAATATTGTCAGTGATCATTTTGATCTTATGAACAATCACTGATAATAAGGCTGGTTATGATATTTAAGTATTTTTTGCCATTTTTGCTTTACTTAAATTATATTTGCAATCTTTTACTCCTTTTGGATGCAGATGCAACATCTCAACATAAAAAAGCAATCCAAACATTCTACTTTCATAGATTTTAAATCCCCTACATTTGTTTTTATTCCAACACTAAATTATCATCGCAACCCATTGATTGTAGCATCAGTTAATTTACCTTTACAACTTGTAATCTTTTACGCATTTGCACTAAACACATAAGTTTTAACATACTTATTTTTTAATGCAAATAATTCTTAGTATCACTTAAGTATTTTAAATAGCTAAGATTGCATTCTGCTAAAGAATTTAAATATTTAAATTGATATGTTAATAAATACAAATATTTTTTTCATATAAAATTACTCAAAGTAAAACAACTTAAATGGCTTTACAAACAAACTAGTACATCTGCAAACAGCAAATGTGTACTCAACTCCCATGGAATATTTTAAAGATATAACTATAAAATTACATTAAAAAAAAAAATGGAAAAAAATTTGTCATTGAACAAATGGAATAATTTAATTTAATTTTTTACAAATCAAATTAAAACTGAAATGCGGCAGATAATAAAAATTGAGTAGTTTTTAGATGGTTGAGCCTGTCAATACAAAAACAAAATGCAAAAAATAAAACAAAAAAGTTTAAAATTGCAGCCATGGTGTATCAGTTAGAGTTCTGGCTTCAGAACTGAAGGTACATTGTTCAAAGTTGGCTCTGGACATATTTGCATCATTGGTATGTATGCATTAAAATCACTAATTATACCCCCCCCCTTGTACTTCCCAAATGCAGAAATTTCTCAAAACATTAAACAAAAAAAACCTTAAGTTTTTTCCACATACCTGTTACATAACATAATATTAGTGATGTACCGATGGCAAAGGCCAATTTTGGTTAATAATAATTTAATGTATTTATTTAAGAGTATTATAATAATATGAAGGATTTAAATTATATATTTAACATGCACCTATACATCAACAGTGATTCGACATACTAGCTTATGCTATTAGTTACCAACAACCAATTAATTAGTTTAACCATTGGCCGATTAAGCGGCCGATGTCATTGGCTGATTATTTGATTGCTTCATCGGCATTGGCTAATTAGCCAAACAAAACCAGTGCATAGGGGCACCTTATATGTGCAAATTGCATACCTAATATTAAGATATTACCTTTATATACATACATTAAACCCTATCATTAGCCTTAATTGGCCTTTGCTATTGGTACTTCGCTACATAATATTGATATTTTAAACTCATGAACTACAATGCTTTTGTTTTTAAAAAAAAGGAATCAAGTTTTAAGAGAAATGGAAAACAAGAGATAGTCAAACCGCGTACCGATTTGCTGCCTTTAATGTCCCTACTTCTTGAACAGATCCTCTTTTTTCCACTGATTTGAGAGTGTCTATGCCTCTGCAACAATAAGGGTTCCAAGTGGTAAAAAAGAACTAAAGATGTGGTCTTACATATAAACATACCAGTAGTGGAAACCACTAAATCATTAAGTGAAATTGAGCAACTCCCATTCTCACTCAACAAGTTAACTACCTTTGCCCTGCAACATTTTTCAAAAAGGGGTGTGAAATGGTTTTTCCAAAAAAGGGCTGAGTTGGGGTTCAGGGCTGACTGGGCTTCAGAGAGGGTGTACAGATGAAATCAACATGCAAAAGTTAGTGTTTATCTAGTTTTGAGAAACATAATTAGCAGCTTGGGAGATATTATCTTCATTTATAGTGAGACTATCATGCATGGAAGTTAATCTTATATAAATGAAATGAAGAACAGGATCACCTTGCTGTATGCATAAAAGAATGCTTGACAAATTTACTTAAGAAATTAAATTTTTTAACTTAAAAAAAAATAACTAATGTGACGACAACTGTTTTAATAATGTAAGTACTTTAATTTTTCAAAAACGATTAAATGAAAAAAATAAATAAATAAATAAAAACATGAGAAAAAAACAAATTTAAAAATAAAAAAAAGTAAAAAAAACCTGCAGTTGCTTAAGCCACGCTTTCCTTTTTGTTGACATAAATTACCAGTTCTTTGCTCCTTCATTGTTTTGACAGGAGTGCATCGATAGTATTCATGTTGACATTTTTCACATTTTTCAACAAACATATTACCATGAAGTTCAGATAAATGTGACCTAAGATAAAAACTAATAAAAGTAATAAATAATTATATTTTATTTAAGTTAACAAATCTTTTTATAAAAATTATTAAATTATAATTTATATATTAACTTGTATTAGCAACTTAGTAACCAAAATTGATTGATTTCTACTGGCTACTTGTTGATTGATTTATATTGGGTACTTGTACTAATACAGAGTAGTCAACTAAAACTCAGTCAAATAAAACTCACAACATACAACTCATAACATACAACTCATAAGCTCACATAAAAATAACTCAATAACATACAACCCATAAGTCAATGAGCTCACACAACACAATTACACACAACACAATCATATTAATAACTAAACACACATTTTTAACATAAAGCAATTTTTTTTTAACAAAATATGATTAAGAATTATTAAAAAAAAAGGATTTTTAATGAATAAATCTAACTAATAACTTAATAACTCTAAACTTTATTTTTACACGGCTTATGTTTTGATCCAACATTGTTTCCCAATAAAAAATGCAAACAGGCAAATATGATGTAATATTCAATATTCAAGTAAATGCTCAATAATAATATCTGAGTTTTTTTTTTTAAAAATATATTTTATATTTAAGTACTAGAAACTTATATTTAACTTTTGATTTCCATTAGCATTTAACTTTTTTTTATACCAATTAATATTTCTAGATTGAGTTACTTATTAGATTTCTATTTTAATAAAACATTTTTTTAAACAGTACAAATAGATTTTACAAAACTCTAAATACTTGTGGTTACAAGTATTCAATTTTTTATCTGCAGCATTGTTTAATTTTCAGAAAGTTTAGTATCAAAATATTAAATATATGCATTCAAGGATATAAATGTCATTGACTGTTTTTAAAAGTCTTTGAATGTCATTGACTGTTTTTAAATGTCTCTGAGTGTAGTTGACTGTTTTTAAATGTCTCTGAATGCCATAGACTGTTTTTAAATCTCTGAATGTTGTTGACTATTTTTTTAAATGTCTCTGAATTTCATTCAGAGTGTTATTGACTGTTTTTAAATCAGAGTGTTATTGACTGTTTTTAAATGTCTCTGAAATGCCTAAAATTATCTACTTTTAATTTTTGTGTAAACATGACAAATTTTTTTTTTTTTTTTTTTTTCAACAGTTTTACTTATTTTTATTTAATTTCTTTGAAATTAATTTTTAGCTGTACCTTTTTTGATATTTTTAAAACTGTTATGACCAAAAAATTTGACTTCTCATAACTAATATAGATAATAACTTATAAATGTAAAGTATGTATACTAGCAACAAAACTAAACAACAACAACAACAACAAAAAAAAACAAGATATTTATTTTTCTCAAATTTTACAATCATATAATAATAATAATAATAATAATAATAATAATAATAATAATAATAATAATAATAATAATAAGTCTATAATATTATAAATAATAAAATCATAAAATCATTATTAAGATTAAATATAAATGATTGACAAGGAGTCACTGATGCAGAAACCTGATCAAAGGTGTGTCACCAAATAATTACATTACTAATATAAATTTAAAAAATAATGATAATAACAATAATATTTACTTTGTTTTAAATAAAGAAATGAAGATAAATAAAGAAGTTTTAATTTTTCAAACTCATTCACAATGCACACAAGACTTCCATTCACTGATGTACTGATGTGTAATACTAACATACCTCAAAGTTTTATACATTTAGTTTTCCATTATTGATGTTTCTAGTTGAATGTGAATTAAACAACCACATGTTGCATCAGTGATTGCATGAAAATATATTATATGCTCTTTCTACATCAAAACCATGTGTAATTTAATCATTATTATCGTAGTTTCAACATCACTTGTTAAGTATAAATTTGAATAGAAGAAGGCAACATTGAATGATTACTGCACACTTTAAGATGCCAAAGACAACTGTTTATCATATTATTCAGTGCATCAAGTCATTAGATGGTATCAATCCAGGAACATATAACATCAATCAAGGAAAATCTTGTGGAAAACCATAAATTACCACTCTGAAAACCAATACACCCATTGGCTGTGAAGGATATACTAATTTCAAGCTCATAAACCATAATAAACTGCTTCCTAGTGTGAATGCCTACACAGTTTGAAGACACCTTAAGAAAGACTTTAGTTTTTAATCATACTGTACTGTATTAAAACTTTTTTCAAAAAAATATTCACAGCCACATCAAATATTGCAAAGGACACGAAGATTGGCTAGTTTAACTGATCTTCCTTCGTTGTTGCTGCTCAATATATAAGTTTGCTCAAATATATTCAAGCACTGACAATGTGTCTAGCATGGTAATTCTTTCCTTAATTTTATAAAAAACTTTATAAATTATGATGCCATCTTTTTAAATTAAATTGATATAGTTTTTAGTGACATCACAACATCTTAGAAAAAATGCAAAAAAATAAAATTTCTGCATCTTTTATGAAATGCAAATATCCTATTGCTTTCAGTGCAATCTACTTGCCCATTTAACTTGCTTTTTAAATCAAAAACAATAAGTTTATAGCTAGTTTCTAGCAATGTTAACCTCCAACTAGCCAACCAAAAGATGAGTACTGAAAAAAGATTTCAGTAAAAATTATCTGTTTCCTTTCATGCGCAGCTAAATCCACATTAAAATGGTAAAAATAATTAGGGTTTGTTATGTCTTGATATTAATTTTAACTGTTTGGATAACTAGTTGTTTTCTTTGTAATTCAAGTTTTGGCAACTTTTGGCAGTACTTATTGACATATTGTAAGATATTTGTTTATAAGAAATGTTTTCATCATTTTTTATAAATACTTTACAATTATCAATACTTTATATAAATATGAAATATACTTATTAAATAAATATAATACCTTGGAAAACCAGAACGAAGATGAAGGCCATCAATATTTTGACTGACTACATACTTTACAATTCCATGTTGTTTAAGTGCTAAAATACTCATGTGAGTCTTGGTAGGTACAGCTTCATCAAAATCTATGAATTTCATTAAAAAAACAATTAAAAAAATTAACATAATTTATATATAATCTATAAGGCTAATCTAAAAAAAAAAAAAAAAAAAGACAACACAACACAACAATCACTAGCTTTAAATATGAAATAATAATAGAGCAAATAGATATTTGTTTTGAAAAACTGAAGAATGCATTTTGGGTTGATAATTAAAAAAAAAAACATAAAAATCATAATGGACTTCAATAAAAATGAACATTTTAAAAATGTACTCCAAATACAGTTTTTTTACCTATAAATTTTCAAGGTTATTAGATTGTTTTAATTTGAGCATGTTAGAAATAAAATGTATAATTGTTAGTTTTAATATCAACAAATTATTTTATTACTTGATGTTAAGTTAACTACATGCAGAGGTGTGGAGTCATAATACATGCAGAGGTGTGGAGTCATAATACATGCAGAGGTGTGGAGTCATAATACATGCAGAGGTGTGGAGTCATAATACATGCAGAGGTGTGGAGTCATAATACATGCAGAGGTGTGGAGTCATAATACATGCAGAGGTGTGGAGTCATAATACATGCAGAGGTGTGGAGTCATAATACATGCAGAGGTGTGGAGTCATAATACATGCAGAGGTGTGGAGTCATAATACATGCAGAGGTGTGGAGTCATAATACATGCAGAGGTGTGGAGTCATAATACATGCAGAGGTGTGGAGTCATAATACATGCAGAGGTGTGGAGTCATAATACATGCAGAGGTGTGGAGTCATAATACATGCAGAGGTGTGGAGTCATAATACATGCAGAGGTGTGGAGTCATAATACATGCAGAGGTGTGGAGTCATAATACATGCAGAGGTGTGGAGTCATAATACATGCAGAGGTGTGGAGTCATAATACATGCAGAGGTGTGGAGTCATAATACATGCAGAGGTGTGGAGTCATAATACATGCAGAGGTGTGGAGTCATAATACATGCAGAGGTGTGGAGTCATAATACATGCAGAGGAGTCATAAAAAAAAAATTACCAACTCTGATTTTGATCGTTGAAATTTTCTGACTGCAACTTTGACTTAAAAGAATTTTTTTTACTAATTTTTGAAAAACTTTTTGAAATCTCGAAAAAATATTACACAATAATTAAATTTTTTTTTTCCAAATATATTAAAAGTTCTTTGAAAGTTAAATATTTTGTACATGCACGTGCAATACAGAGAAGTTTTACTATTGGAGTCGGTGTTGCGATTTTGTTTAGAAACTCCAACTCCACGGCCCTGACTACATGTAAATTTGAAGTTATTATTGGGTGGACACGAAAATATTTGGTCAACTTTAAATTGAGATTTCTCTAAAACCATAAATGCTTTTTATTTTAACTTTTTTTTTATTATTAAATGTGTTAACATCAATTAGAGTTTTAACTTAATTTTAAGGGGTTTGATGGTTGTTTAGCTGGAGATCGAATTTTATAGCAGTTTAATGCCATAATTTTGCAGATTTTTTCTTTTTTCATCTTATTGGTGGCATAAATCTACTTTTTTTGGAAGTCCTTTTTATTTTTTGTTACTTTACTTGTCTTACAAAGAACTCCTTTAACTATTGCCCAAAAATCTTGTGCTCTTCAGGACGATTTGGAGGAATCGCATCTTTAGGAACAATTTTCACATTATTATCTTTCCACCACTGTAGAACTTTTTTAGAATAGTGAGAAGCAGAAAGATCTGGCCAAAAGAGACATCGGTATTTGCGTTTTTTCATCAATTGCAAAAGTCTTTTTTGGAGGCATTATTTGATGTAGAGATTCTTCTTAGAGACAAAATAAGAGGACTGCATACCACAGCTACAAATTACTTGCCAACAAGGATGCAAATTTTTCTTGTTGAATATATTTTAATTGATCATTGAAAGGTTTATCTTTGTTCTTATAGTAAAATTGTTGACCAGTAAGTTGTGAAAAATCCGCCTTGCAATATGTTTCATCGTCTTTAATTATACACATACTTTTATCTGCCATTATTTTAACCAACTTATTTGTACGTTGAATTTCTTTAATTTCACTATTTAGGCTTTTCTTAGATGTATTTTTTTAATGAAATGCTTTAATTCCAGCATTTTAAAGTACTTTTTTAGTATAAGAATGCAAAATCTTGAATTTTTTTGCTAGATCTTGCTGTAACTGGTTTGAATTTCTTGCTATTTAACGTAAAATTGACTTTACCTTTTTGGATTTATGGAAAGTTTTCTTTCTTCCACTTCCAGGTTTTCTTTCTTCCACTTCCAGGTTTTCTTTCAAAGCTTTGAGTAGTCTTGAACTTATTTATAATATCTATGGTTGTAGATTATGGGACAATTGTACATTTAGCAATCAAGCGATATGAAGTCGATGGATTTTTTGCAAAAAAAATCCACTACTTATTTACGCACATCAACTTGTTTCCGAAATTTTTTGCAAATCATTAATTTGTAAACAAAAGTTTATCAACACAATTAAAGATAAGGAAGTAACGTTTAATTAAAAAAATAAAAGAAATAAAAAGTATTAGTGGTTTTAGAGAAATCTCAATTTAAAGTTGACCAGATTTTTCAGTGTCCACCCATTATGTCATATAATTTTTAAAGTTATGATAATATGGTAATATAAATATGATAATATAATATGATAATATAAATAAAATATTTTACTGTTTAAGAAAAGCTGTACTTTTCTACTGTTTTAATGACTTTTACAATTTTGAGAGTATTATGGCTAAAATGAGATTAAAATTCTTCTTAAAATTTTATTTCTTTACTAGTATAAGGCCAAAGAACAAAAATATTAAAATTTTTATCTGTAAAAAAGTTAACAAATTTTTTAACCTATACTAACTTTCGGTGATTTTCCCTTAGCTTCAAGTGTCCAAACTCCATTAGGTCCTCTAAAATCAGGTATGCCAGCAGATGTGCTTATCCCAGCACCTGTGTGCACCACCATATACTTTGACTGCTTTATAAGATGAACAAGTTGATCAATTCCTTTTTGAAGAACATCAGGCGAATCAAAAATCTTTAAATAAAAAGAAAGCAAACAATATTTGTATGTATTTAAATATATATGTATAATATATAAACATATTTGATAATCAGGAAACTTTCTGATGATCCTACAAAACGAGAAACAAAGTCTGAAATTTTTTTTTTTTCGAATCAAGGAGATTTAAATTAGTGAGATTGTACTGTGTGTGTGTATATATATATATATATATATATATATATATATATATATATATATATATATATATATATATATATATATATATATATATATATATATATATATATAATATAAAATATTTTAGGGGAACCTCAAGACCCTTGAACATATAACGAGTTCCTAATATTATCATAAAAAAAAAATTCTTTATAAGTGTATCATGTCGGGTCTCAAATAAAGCAATACCATATGAAAATTGTAAAAAATGATAATCATGTTATAAAAAACTTGTTGAAAAAAAAAAAAGTCTCAAAAATTGGTAAAAATGCACTTTTTTTTCTTTGTTAGTTAATGAACTATATAACTTATATAATAAAATTTTTTATGTTATTGAATCATATTTATTATTATATAACATTCTTATCATTTTTGAAATATGATTTTGCTTCATTTGAGACCCATCAAAACGCTTTTGAATAATTTTTTTTTGACAATAATAGGAACTCTTTATATACTCAAGGGTGTTGAGGAACCCCTAAAAATATTTCTTATTCAAAAGTTATTTATTCAAATTATAAACTATAAATGTTTAAAATAATTTCCTCTTAGACTTTGAGTTTTAATATAGTTTTATTTTTATTACTTTAGAATTTGAGTTTATTTTCTTATTTTCTCATTAGTTAATGGTAATTTTTGTTTTTTTATGTTTGATTTATAATTAAAATTTATCATTAAATGTTACAAAATTTAAATTTATTTTATATAAATCCTTTAAAAAATTTACAACGCTCTATTTTACAATTTCTTTTATTTTAAAATTTTCAAACATGTTGAAGAAAACTCTTTTTATCAAATTTAGTTTTAGTTACTTTTTTATGTTTGTTTCACAATCAACTATTTTGTTTTAGTAGTTTTATTTTCATTTTTTATTTAACCAATATTGTATACTATTTATACCAATAAGTTTCAAGTCAATAATTTTTTTCATTCCAAAAGCGCTAATATACAAAAGTACTCAATGCACTTACAACTGTACAGGCCTAAGCAGGAGTAAATAACAGTGAGAGGGGAGAAAGGCTCTCCTAAAACAAATATAGCAAACCATGCAAGCTGCTCCTCTAAACAGCTTCTAACAAGAGCTTTTGGTTTTTACATAAGCTATCTGTTTATTTATTTATAAAATTGTTTATATATACAAAATTTGGTTTTATACTTGTTACAATCATATATTTGTAACATTAATGTTTCAAGACAATACATAACAAAGATCATTTATTGCAAAATAAAAAAGTTCTCTAGACGAGCATTATCTTGCAACAACTGTGTCTTTTAAAAAGTGTTTATTATTCAATTAATTTTTTTTAAATGACTGTGTTTTTTATTTTAATTACAATAATAATTTTTCAGAATAAAAGATTATACTTTTGCAAGAGTTGCAAATTGCTCCTGTAAACCATTTTAGGGAGCTAAAGCTATCGCTTCCCTCTGAGGCCTGTGTATAAATGCGTTGCCGGATAATCAATAATCCGGCAATGAAGCCTGTAGGCAAAATTATTTTTGATAAATTTTTACTAAAAAAATTAAGAATTTTTTGTAACAAATTTATAAAAAAAAATGATTTTTTTTTTTTTAATTTGAAAATGCTTTTTAACATAAGTTTTTTCATTATAAATAAGTTTTTAGATTGATCATAGAGTGAACATTGATTAGAAATGATTAACAAGATGTTCGCAAAGGCAGATGTATCTATCTAATAGTTGATAGAAGAAAAAAAAAAAAAAAAAAAGAAAGAAATTATTTGAAAAAAAAGAATAAAACTTATCAATATAAAAGAAGATAAAAGCATTTGCAAACTATATATATAAGTCAAAACGTTAACTTCTAATCATTTGTTTAAAAAAAAATTACTTAAGTTATAAATTATTCAATTAATAAGTAAGCAATATAATAAAGTGTTTATATTGAATACATCAGAATATACCTGCTTACAAATAAAAGAGAAAAAAACAAAACAAAGAAATTCAAATTTAGAAAAAGAACTTAATATATATATATTAGCTCATTCAATTTATTTTCTTTTTTGCATATCTTTTTTATCATATTATTAATTACATTATTAGCTCTATAATTGTATATTTTATTATTAAGCGTTTGTCATATTTATAGTATCTATATATTAATTATACATTACCACTACTACTTTTGTTATTACTGTCACTATTGTTGTTAATATTGCTATTTTTGTCATTGGTATTATTATTGTTCTTATTACTATCCATTATTATTGTTATATTGTTAATATTTTTATCATAAACTTTATCTTTGTTATACTATCATATAGTTACTACTATTGTTATATTGTTTTTATTGTAATAATCTTATTAAAATCTTTTTTTCTAAACAAATTTCTACTTAATATGTCTAAACTCTGTAAAATTTGTGATAAAATTATTTGTGCTAATCACCATTCCCTTCAATACAACTACTGCATAAGTTCAATCCACAAGAAATTTAGTTCTTTAAATAATAGTAATTTTAGTTATTAAAAAACTCTTCCATGAATTACATGTTGCAACAGTATTTTTCATTTCAGTTCTATATCGGATAATCAATTATGTCTTTAAACTTCAATTGACAATATATTACATTTCAATGATCTGAGAAACCTTTCCCTCTTTCCCTGCTCCCAAGAATCTGAGACTTTTAACTAACTTAATAATTACTGTACTTATCAGCTAAATAACAATGACAATGATGATACGAACATAGTTGAGGACCCAATCATTTGTAAATACATTGATATTGAAAAATTTAACTCTTCAAACATCAACATTAACTGTTTTTCTCAATTTCATTTAATTATTACTTCATTAGTTAAACATTTTGACCACTTTTATCTTTAATAAATTATGAATTTAGTATAACTACAGAAATTAAGCTGAAATCTGATTTACTCCAAACAACACCAATAAATCTTAGTGGATATGTTTATGAACATACTCCAACAAAAACTTCATTTTGAGGTGCTCCTTTATATTTTTATGCTACTTTACATTTCTAATAAACTAGTTTATAAATCTAGAAATGATTTACTTATGTATAAACCTAAATTCTTAGACTTCGTATTTGTCGAAATCATTTTCCCTAAAAAAGCTAATATCATAGTTGGCTGTGTTTATTGTCATCCTAGCATGAATATTAATGAATTTATTGTTTCATATCTAGCTATTTTATTTGAAAAACTTGCTGTTGAAAAAAATAAAACTATTTTTATAATTTTTATAAATAAACCATTGCTTCAAACAACTTTCTTCCTTTTATTTCTTTACCGACAAGAAAAACCAATCACTCAAGTTCTTTAATTGATAATATATTTTCTAATTCAACTTCTAAAGATATTTTTCAGGCAATCTAACTATTAGAATATCAGATCATTTGCAACAGTTTCAAATTTATTCATCTTTTAAAAAAACAATTATTAATTCTCCAAAAAGTAATATTATTCTTTGAAACTTCAAATAATTAAATAGTGAAGAATTCAGGAAAGATGACTTGAAAATCATCTAGGATAAAGTAATCAAAGTTTCCAATAGTAATACAAATAAATCATAAGAAGATTTCTTCACTAGCTTTAACTCTCACACACAGGCTAAAAAAAGTAATTGTGGCTTAACTCGCAACCTTAACTATGGATCACTTCAGCAATTTTAACCTTGATAAAAAACCGAAACAATATATTTAAGAAGTTATATAAACAATATATTTAAGAAGTAAAACAAAAAATCTTCATGACAAACTAATTCTTGAAAAAACTTACAAAACCTATAAAAATTTAGTTGTTACACTTATTTGAACAAGCAAAAACAACTACTTTTCTAACTACTTTACTACCAATAGCAATAGTTTGAGAACTATGTGAAAGGGTATTAGAACTCTTTTGAATATACGTTCGAATGATATCTTATATCCATCTTGTGTATCTTCAAACAATACCATTATAAATGATCCAGGTAAAATCTCAGAAATTTTTAACTCCTTTTTTTTTAATCCCTGAAGAACTGCAAAAAGATATGCATCCATCTCATACTGACTTCCATAAGTATTTAAAAACATCAAACCCTGACTCTTTTTTCATTCAACTTACTGAAAAAAATGAAATAATATCAGTTATTCTTTTTCTAAATGATGACAAGGCTTTTGGTCCAAACAGAGTTCTAACCTTTATTCTCAAACCTCTTGCTAATGATATTTCTTCAGTACTTTCTAAACTATTTAATCTCATATTCACTACTGGTATATCCCTAATATTTTAAAAACTGCATTTGGTAAACCAATCCATAAAAAGGACTCAAAATTTGACTGCAATAACTATAGACCAATATCATTATTATCAAATATCAGCAAAATTCTTGAAAAATTAATGTATTTTTATATCTACCACTTTCTTGATAATTCTAAGTGTCTCTACGGCCACCAGTTTGGATTTATTAGTATTACTGAAATGATTTGTGGTGCGATTGATAGTGGTTCTTTTGCTTGTGGCATCTTTATTGATCTCCAAAAAGCATAAGATACAGTTGACCATAAGATTTTAATTGAAAAATTGTATCACTATGGTATATGGTGTATTACTAATGATTGGTTTTCATCCTATGTTAACAATTGTGCTCAGTTTGTCTCATTTATAGGTTTCAATCCATAAGTAAAATTATTAAGTACAGTGTCCCATAGGGTTCTGTTCTAGCACCTTTACTGTTTTTAAAAATATATTAATGATCTACCTCACTCAATAAATAATTTGATTGTTCATCATTTCGATGATGACACTAATCTTCTATGCATAAATTCAGATCTTTATCATTTGTGTATTTGGTTAAATAGTAACCGTCTTACTCTAAATATCAATAAAACTGAATTTATTATTTTTCATCCTCCAAAAAAAAAAAGATTGATAGTAATAATGTTAAAATTAGAACTAATGGTAAAAGTTTTTTCCTATCTAAATATATAAAATACCTCGAGCTATTTCTTGACAAAAACCTATCATGGTACTATCAACTAATTCAGTTAAATAAAAAACTCTCATGTGTCAATAGTATGCTGCCATTAATATGACACTGTTTGGGGTCAAAAAGGTAGTTTTCTATTACATCGTACAAACAGTTTACAGTGCCCTTCCTTAAGAATTATGATATTTTCTCCTTTACGATTTAATATAGAAAATAGGTTTTCTGAATTAAAAATTATAAAATTTCAAGACCTTGTAAAGCTTTATTTTTGATTGATTTGTTTGATTTTCTTCAAAATAAATAATAATTTATTCATTAATTTTTTTATTCAAACTAGTGACACATATATTACACTCAAAATACTGAAAATTTTAACTTGAAGACTTCCTTTTTCAACAATATCAAATATGACAAGCTCTCTATAAAACATCAATGTGTTTCTCACTGGAACCAAATAATACCTTTTTTAAAAAAAATATGAACTAAATACCTCTTTATAACCAATATTCTTCTTCTCAATCGAAACCAAAATAAGAAAATTTTTATTTGAGTATATATTTAATGAATATATATTTTATCTTTTATTATTATTGCATTTTATATATTACTGTATTTATAAACTATTATTACTTTTATTTTATACTGTCTTTTTAATTCTACTAATATTAATATTATCATTAATTTATCTAATAATTTAATTTAATTAATTTAAACTATAACAAATTTGCTTTGACTTTTTATATTTTGGAATTTAAAATAATCAAACTAATAAAGTAACTTTTTACATCCTAAAAACCAATAAACAAACATAAGTTAGAGACAATCTTATCTTTTATAAATTATAGCCTAGTAATAACCTGGTCAATTAAAAATGTTAACTAATTTTAGTAAAAACATTTTATTCAATTAATAAGTGTTTAGTATATGCTGATCTCAAAAAAGAAAGTTTTTCAGTTGACATCAGAAACAATTTTTTTTACCTGCACTTAACTATTTATTGCTTATATTTTTTCATAAAACAATTACTACACTCAAATAAATTCTATCATTTATTTGAGTGTAGAAAAAAAAAAATGATGATGATGATGACGAAATGTGTAATGTTAGTGCAATATATATTAAATTGATGTTAAACAATTTCTTATAAATCAAAATCATAATTTCATAAAATAAGAAATTTATAGAAGAAAAACCCAATGAAATCTGCATCTTGGTTACTTAGAAAATGTTTACATTATTGAGCTATTAATCTTATCTAAAAAAATATTTTTTTCTCCAATGCAAAGTAATTAACTTTTATCCAAATCTTTTTACTATAAACAAATTACTAAATACTTTTTACAAAAATTTTCTTAAAATATTTACACAACATGCACAGCTTTAATTTTCAAATAATTTTAAACCAATTTAAAAAGAACTGAATTTTTTTTACCTCTGGCAGTCCAAGGTTTCCTTTGTGTATATGGGGAAAATTACTCAATCCAGCAGCATAATTGACTGACATATTTCTACCATGTAATGAAAATTAAAAAAATGGATATTTTTTTTCTTTAAGAGCAAGTAAGTAAAATATTTAAATATAAATAAACATTAATAAATAAATGAAAATATAAATATATTAATATAAAATACAGTAGTTGGTAAAAGATTTTGAAAATAGAAGATGTATATTTTAATTAAAACACAGTAAAATTATAAATCTTGTTCTTTATAACTATTTATGTTTATATAACTAATAACTTTAACTATATAATTAATTGCAAATATTTATAATTATTAACCTGAAAAATTTATAAAATTAAAACAACTATTATAAACTAAACAATCATGTGTATATATATATATATATATATATATATATATATATATATATATATATATATATATATATATATATATATATATATATATATATATATGTATATGTATATATATAAATTAGTAGAAAATCACATAGCAAAATTTTTTCTCATTTAACACTGTGTTTCATCAATAAAGACTCATCAGAAATCAATAAAGTTCATCAATAAAGACTCATCATTTCTAATAAGTCTTTATTGATGAAACACAGTGTTGAATGAGAAAAAATTTTGCAAAGTGATTTTCTACTAATTTGTGATTGCTCTGTTCTTTTAAGAACATTGAGCACTCTTTTTGTAGAATACATTTTAAAATGTTTAAATATATATATATATATATATATATATATATATATATATATATATATATATATATATATATATATATATATATATATATATATATATATATATATATATATATATATATATATATATATATATATATTGAGAACAATTTCTGCATTAAAAAAAACATAAGATAAATTAATTGAAAATTTATTTTTTATAAATCCAAGATAATCAAATTAAAATATATACAACATTAAGCTAGAAAAATTTAACAACAAAATGTTATTTCTTTTTCTTCAGTGCTTCAATATAAGAACCTAACAAATTTTGGACATTTTCTTGTTGAACTCCTTTTACAAATAGGTCTAAATCTTGGTTTCTACAACTAATAAACTGTTCAATGTATTGCTTTCTTATATTCTTTTTGGTTTGAATTCGACCAACATCTGGAACTTTCAACCATTTTTCCATTTCTGTAATACAACAAGTGAGAAGATGCTCTGGTGGAACAACCTGGTCAACAATACCTATTTTTAAAGCTTCTGAAGGTGTGCTAAGAATTCCTAAACTCAACATTCTTTCAGCTTCACGGTGACCAACAAGTAATTTTAATGATTCAGCTAACCAAAATGGAGCAGACAATCCCAATAATGTTTCGTTTAGTCCTATTGTGTGTTTACCATCTACCATAACACGATAATCACTACTAAAAGCAATCATGCATCCACCAGCAGGACATGCGCCATTAATAGCTGAAAATATTATAAGAGGAGATGAAAATATTTTTAAAGACATCTCTTGGACTAAATGCCAAAAGTTAGCTAAATGAGAAGGATTTGGTTTATACATTTCTAAAAGATCAAGTCCAGCACTAAAAACTGGTAATTTGGAAGTAAATATAACACCTCGACATTTCTTATCACTTTCAGACTCATTTAGTGCAAAAATGATTTCACTGCAAAATTCTGTGTTTAAGCTGTTTACAGGTTTCTTCTCTAACTGAATAATTTTATACCCTTGGTTAGTTTCTTTTATATCTAGAAACTTGTATGTAGAAATGAATCTGCGACTATACTTCACTGATTCTTTCAAAAAATTCATTATAGGTTTTTTATTTACACTACTACAATATAAAGAACACATCAAACACAATAAGCATGTTAATATTATTAAATAATAACATAGTTACTTAGATTTTTAGTTGCTTAAATGATAACTGTAAAATAACTACAAAATAATTAAAAATAAGTAATTAAGATAAATAAAATGTACAAATAAAAAAATTAAAATTTAGATTTCATTAAATTTAATTAGCTTTTAATTCGTTAAACTAATATTATCAGTTTATTTTCATCAGACGATTTAGTATTAGAATTAACTAAATTATTAGGCATCAGATATTTTTAGATAAAATTAATAGATATCATTACTCCTGTTTTCAATGATAACTGTTAAGTTGTCTCTCAGCATATATATATATATATATATATATATATATATATATATATATATATATATATATATATATATATATATATATATATATATATATATATATATATATATATATATATATATATATATATATATATATATATATATATATATATATATATATATATATATATATATATATATATATATATATATATATATATATATATATATATATATATATATATATATATATATATATATATATATATATATATATATATATATATATATATATATATATATATATATATATATATATATATATATTTCTTGCTTGTTTGTTTGACATGTTTGATAATTTAAAATTATTAAGTTGCATTAAAATTGTTTAAGTTCTGTGATTCAGATATGCGATTTTACACGTTAGCGCTATTTTACTTGGTCATTGAGTTTTACGTTTTTTAACGTTTTTTTTTAACGTTTAACGTTTACGCGTTTTTAATTTAACGTTTTAATTTATGAAGCTTTTTTATTTTTTTATAGAATTATCGAAACTTTTTTACTACCCTTAATAATGAACCTAAAGAATATCGTTTTTGATTCTTTCGATTAAATATGCTCAATAGCGTTAACATAATTTTAGTTAAAATCTGGAAAAAGAGCGTTAACCTACTATAGATCCTAGTTCTAATCTGTTCTAATATATAATAATTAAATATAGTTGTCAAAATATAACGTTTTTGTCACTTTTCGCAAAAGTTCAAGTATTAAGACCAAAAACGAGCTTTTAATTAAGAAAAACTGGCAATAAACAATCATAACATTATATATTATTAAACTATGATGTTCATTTCACCTTAGCTACGTATTTATTTAAAATCTTATTCAATTCTTGAAAATCGTGATTGTTAGGAGATTAAAAAAAAAAAAAAAAAAAAAAAAGAATTTCCTAAAAATCACAATATTTAAAAAATAATTAAATTTTTCATACTTTGAAATAGTGTTGTTATGTTACAGTATACTGTAACATAACAACACTATTTCAAAGTATACTTTGAATACTTTGAAATAGTGTTGTTATGTTACAGTATACTGTAACATAACAACACTATTTCAAAGTATGAAAAATTTAATTATTTTTTAAATATTGTGATTTTTAGGAAATTCTTTTTTTTTTTTTTTTTTATAAAGGTCAGTAGTGTTAGATATAACATGCGGAGTTCCTCAAGGGTCTATCCTAGGACCTCCACTATTTCTCACTTTTTTTTTTATCTTACGTAAGATAAAAAAAAAAAAGTTTGCGCCGTCAGTAAACATAGTTTAAGTTAGATGCTTTATAAAGATTGTTTATGTAATTGAGAAATAGTGGAGGTTCTAGGATAGACCCTTGAGGAACTCCGCATGTTATATCTAACACTACTGACCTTTAATAATACGTCATAGTGAACAGATTGCTTTCTATTGCTTAAATAACTTTTTAATTGCTTCAAAACATTGCCAGAGATTCCAAATAGAATTTGAAAGTAATTTTAGATTTTTCAAATGATTCTGTAATATATGGTGTTATTTGTAGCATAGCGTGTTCAGTAGATAAACTTTTTTTAAATCCGTTTTGATTTTTGTATATTATTTTGATATATATTTTGAGAAAAATGATCAAATTATTTTGAAAAATTATCTTGAGAAAGATGATTGAAAGTTTTATTGTAAAGAATTCTTTCTATAACTTTTGAGAAAACAGAGAGAACAGATATTGGATGATAATTAATAACATTCAGTAAGCCTCCACCTTTAAATATTGGTAAATTTTATATATTTTTATTTCATCAGGTTTTTAATTTCTCGTTGAATTAAGCATTTAAATATTTTAAAATTTTTTCTTCATATAAATCAATAACCATGTTTCCATTGATATCATCAGGACCGACTGCCTTATTTACCTTTATCATTTTAAAAGCTCTATCAAATTCATCAAAAGACAATTCAAAAGAATTTAAATAAGATACTAAAGAAAATCTACATCTGTTTATATTTTTGTGTTATGATTAAAATATTTTTTGCTATATTTGGTTTAACTGAAGTAAAAAATTCATTCATTTTATCAGTTACCATTCTTGGAGATTATCATATTATTAGGTACCACTCTTAGATCATAAAATATTTTATCATCAATTTTAACAACTTTAGGTAAAGAGCTAACTTTCAATTTCTTCCTGCCTGTAATCTTGCCATGTTTTTTTTGAATTGTCTTTATCCTTTTCTAGTAATTATAATTTATTTGGATATATATATAGCTTTGCTTCATTTATATTACCCATTAATCATAGTTTGGAATAATTTTTTTTTGGCTGGTGGGGACCAAACAAAATAAAATAAAATATTGACTTTTTTTTATACTGACGACATTGAATTCAACTATTAAACTCGATCACAGGTTTATCAGTTAATAAACGTGGAAAAGGGTGTAAGTGACGTCCCTCGAGGACCAGTTCTTGCCTCACTGCTATTTATGTTCTCCGTCAATGATTTATTAGATTACATTTATAACTATACTATATTATACGCCAAGAATGCTAAGAATATATGAGTTATTGATCTAAGGGAACATTGACACCGCTGAAAATTGGTAGTACAACTGCTTTTATATCAATTAATTGGTAATATCGATAAGTCTTTACGTTGTCGCAAAAACTAATTGATATTACCAAGACCAGCATTGGTAGCAATGGATCTAATCTAGTTCAAACATGCACTGAGCGTCAAAGTACAAGTAGAAGCAGCTTCGAAAATGAGTTGTCGCAATATATTAAAGCAATTAAATGCTTGGTTGTTTCAAGAAGCCATTTTATTATCAGAGCTTTTTAGCTATGAAAAAACTGTTCCAAGATCTATGGAAACATATTTATGGAAAAAACTGTACATTAAACCACATTTAGATTTTTGTGTGTAAGACTGGTCCAAATAAAAAATTGCTCTTGTCCAACAACGCGCAATATCGTTCAATATCGTTCAATATCGTTCAATATCGTTCAATATCGTTCAATATTATTCAGTTCTACAACTACATCAATTTTTTTTCTTTGTTGTTTTCTTTGTTTGTTCTTTATTACAATATTCAAGGTACAAATATATGAAAAAGAAAAATTGCGAGAGAACATATCTTTAAAAAAAATAATCATATTAAAATAAAGATTGCGGATACTCAAAGAAGACCATTAGGTCTTGTCACAGAAAACCGATGTTGAAAAAATTTAAAGGTTTTTTAAAACCAAGTTAAAAAACAATGCCTCATTTACGCTTTCTCATAAAATTGAGCGAACAAAAATAATTCAATTCAAAAATCGTGTTGTAAACTTTTGGAATAAATTAACGCAGGATGTAATTGACTTATTTACAGTAAACTTTTGGAATAAATTAACGCAGGATGTAATTGACGTATTTACAGTAAACTTTTGGAATAAATTAACGCAGGATGTAATTGACGTATTTACAGTAAACTTTTGGAATAGATTAACGCAGGATGTAATTGACGTATTTACAGTAAACACTTTTAAAATTTTTTTTTTTATAGTACTACTTCGGCTGCAGCAGCGTCAATCGTCAATGCTGACGTCAATCGTCAGCATTTGAAAGCCTGCTGTTGCTTTCTTTTATTAATATAAAACTTTTTATGTATAAATTTCATTAATTATTATAATATATAAACATAAATCTAAAATATTTTTGTTGTCAGCTGTAATCCCGCAAGATCTTTCATCTTGTTTTATAAAATTTCAGGCGTTCAGCAAAGATTGTCGCTAAAAAACTAATTACAAAGCGATTACTGTAAAATTACTGCTGCTTTAAATATCAACTCATCGTTTAGCAGATTTCTCTCTTGTTGGCAATGAAACAGAATTTTTTGCCAAGCGAATGATAATAGCAAAATTGCAGTGAACCTAATTATGCAGTCTTTTTTCTCCCAAACTTCAGCTTAAAGTAAATATCTTTAAAATTGCGCTTTGTAATTTCATTCAACAAATTAAGAATAAAATTGGGCTTTAGAAAAATTTAAGAATCTCATTCATCTGGTTGAAAGATCATTAATCGTTAAAAATAAAGGCTTGTGAAATAGAATACAACTTTATGGAAAATATTTCGCATCTTAACAGTTTGAAGCAGTCTTTGTTTTTCAATTGTGGAAATACTTTAGAGTTTCTCAATTACATATACTCAAAGGCTTTAGGCTTTCTTATTCAAATTTACTCATTCTAATTTGAACTTTTTAACGCAATATCAGTACCTGTAGCAGAAAGCGAATAACCTTTAAGTAAACTAAAGTTAATTTAAAAAAATGTTTGTAGGGCTACTAAAAAATAAGAGATTTAGAACTTCTATTGGACATTAAATTACGTCATAATAATTTTTTTTTGAAAATTACATTTGGGGAGTGATTTCATTATGGGTTGGGCAATTAAGTTAAGCAATATTCAACTTAAACAAATTAATCTTTTCTTTTTTTTAAATTTAATTTGTATAAAAATTAATTTGAAAAATGTAAAAAAGCGTTAAACAATGAGTCATTACGACAAAAAATTAACAACACATTACTAAAGTTTTAATTATTCAACTTTTATTAGTCCATTTGTAGTTGTAATCTATAAATTAAAGAACACAGTTACTTTGTGCTTGTTATTTGCTTTGTGTTAGTAGTGAATTTCATTGTGT